CAAATTTCGGGCATCCTCATTATTGGGCTCATCTTTTAGGTTTCGCGGCGCTCAATTAAAAGGCTAATTGGATACGCGGAATTACTTTAATTAGGGGGCGCCGACGTTAGGGGAGAGCAAAAAGATTCGCCCGTATACGCAAAAATGCGCCTCCGTGCCACCGTCCTTCGAACAACAAGTCAGACAGAGGCAGAGATAATAAAAGTGTACGAACGACAAACTAACTCCGATGCACTACTACTTTAATTTTAGTAACAAAAAGAAACCGGTGCGCCAATTCAGATTATCAGGCATAGGTATAGTCGGTCAACAAGGCGTCTAAATCGGAAAAAGGGCTGACAATAACAACAAATAATTTTTTTTTATTTAATTTAATAATTTAATATTATATTTTAATTTAATGTTTCATATTTTAAAGCAAAATGTTTATTTTTAGCGTCTTAGTTACGTTTGTAGATACACGAAGTGTGTTCAAAAAGTCAGGTGACTTTTAAGTTTTATCAAAAAGTATTTAATTATTTATCAAAATTAATATTGTCCCCTTCAAAGTAATCCCCTCCCCCAGACGTAATACACTTGTACGAATGTCTTTTGCAATCCTCGAAGCACTAATGGTAAACACTTTCTGGTATATTCTTGAGTTCATCCGGCGATTTTTTCTTTATCTCCTCAATCGTTCCAAACCTCCTTCCTTTCATGGGTTTCTTGAGTTTTGGGAACAGGAAAAAAATCGCAGGGGGCGAGATTCGGTGAATATGGTGGCTGAGCCATGTTTATGGTCTTGGTTTTGACCAAAAAAATAGACAAAAGGAACGATGAGTGAGCAGGTGGATCATGGTGATGCAAAATCCATGAATTGTTTTCCCACACTTCGCATTGCTTCTCGCAAACGGCGCATAACTTCACTTCACTTTTACTTATTGACCGTACGACCTTGTGGTAGGAACTCTTGATGTACTACGCCACTATAATCAAAGAAAACAGTAAGTAAAACCTTGACATTTGTTTAAACTTGACGTACTTTGTTTTCGATCTTGGCGATTCTGGGAGCTTCAGTTATTGACGTGCTGCACTATATTCCATTTTTACACAAAATGTTATGCAAATTCATTGTTCTATTTTTTTGACAGCTGAAAATCGCCGAACACACAAAACACGTCTAACGCTTCTGTCTCACAAAAAAAGTAAATGTACAAACTGGTTCAAACTATGAACATATGTTAGAGGCATGTGTGCCAACATAACAAAAAAAAATTGAAGATCGAATGCCCGATTACAAAAGTCACCTTACTTTTTGAACACACCTCATACTATGACATTAAAAAATACCTACATGGTGTCCGCTATAAGTTGACAATTTTTACAAAGTTTGCAAGTTATCTCTTTTTTAAAATTATACACCATGTAACTTATTATTTCATACAATTTGCCTGTCAAAGAACTTCATTTTTTTATATAAAGTATTTCACTTTATTTGAAAAAACTATATGACAAAAAGCGGTTCTTAAATGTTTCATATCTCGACACACACTTAACTTAAATTTAATTTAAAAATATTTAATAAAGAAGTCATTTAATTTACTCAAAGATATAAACATATCAAGGCTCTGTCTGCAATTAAAACTCAGTAGGTAAATGTTGAAATATGTAATATTTTTGTCATGTGATAATATTCTGTAATAACAAGAATACATATTTTGATAAAATACTACCGAAAAATGGCACATCCAAACCGTCTAATTGCAGCCAGACTTTTGATTTTGGTTGGTTTTTGGAGATATTCGAAATTTGAAGGAAAATGAGACCCAGAATGAGAGACATAGGGAGCAAAAAATTTGCTCTCTTATTTTGCTTAATAAGAATTTTGTTGTATTAATTTTGATTTGTCGGAATCGCTTTGTGTGAGACGTAGCCATAAAAACTGACAAACCACAAAATACCACCGGTGGCTGAAATCTACCGAACAGGCGGAACTTGTAAGGGGATATATATTTTTTACACTTCGCTAAAACCACTTTACGTACATTTTCAAAATCTGCTTACTCCACGTTTGCTGACTCAAAATATTCGTTTATCAAATGAAAATAGAAAAGCTGACGATGCGATGCTTCTTGCTTTTATCTAAATAATTTATACGTTGATGCCGGAAGTTTAGGTGCCGCCTGCCTCCATTTTTGGCTCAGTGTATGTGGTTCGACCCAACGCAACGATCTGTTTAATGTTCCGTTATTTTCGTGAACGCGCTAATCGGTTTTTCAGTTTTTCCGTTCGTTTTTTTTTTCTTTTATAATCATTAAAACAAACTACCGAAAGTTTTAAACAGTACAAAATTCGAAACGGGATTAATATTTTTTTAAATCATACAAATTTTTTGAATGGATGATTTCGCTCATACTAATTTTCAGTTAATGCTGCTAGTGAAAGGACGGCTCACTTTTGTTTCATGAGTTTTGCTATTAGAGAAAGTAGATCAAATTGTGGTGCTCGTTAGGTTTACATTATAGTCGCAGTCTCTTCAAGTATAAAAAAAAAATTTTGACTTCCTATCGGACATTTTTATCACGAGCATTTCACAATTGCCATGTTTTTTCCTTAGCAAATTGTCGAAAATTGTCTCTAATGAAAGTCTAACCAAAACCAAGGATAAAGTTAGAGAAACCAGCTTCTGAAAATGATTGATACTTATAAATTCGCATTATCTAGATCCACACAGGTTAAAATCCTAACTAAACGTGAATAGCCGTGACCATAAACCCTTTCAGGACGGCACCATTTTGCCGCAAAAGTGCCACACAGACGGCTGTTTTTTACGTGCCCTGTGGACGAATATCATATATATCGGTAATGGAAATATACTTGTATGACCCCCTATAAAAACGCAAAAAAATACTTTTTTTAATAGAATAACTTTATTTTAATTTAAAATGTATTTTTTGAACTAACAAGCTTTTGAAAAATATTAAAAAATGTAAATGAACTTATACAAAATATTTTTAAATCAAAATATAAAACTCATTATAAAAAATGCCTATAGTATTTGTTAGAATTTTTCCTTTGTGTGGTAAATCTGAAAACATTACACACAAGCCTTTGTCACATTCCTTACACATATATCTGGAAACCTTTCATTGTTTTTCCTTTACTGTTGTATGTGACCATACAACAGATCTTCTGGATTTTTGTCTTTTCGATTGAGGAAACTAATGTGGGGAAATGTCTGTTCTGTAGTCTAGCTATATCAGCAGTTGCAGAAACGAAAGTGGGCTTGTTGGCATTGGATTTGTATCTGCAACAATAAAAATTAACGTAATTAAACAGAAGAACTTGAAAAAAATCACCAATATATGTGAATAATAGCCAATAAAATGTATACAAATGAATACAAAATAAAATTTTTGAAATTTTAATTAACTTTTGAAACCCTTCATTTTTTGTTGTTACGGTATTAAATTTATCAAGAATAATTTTCCCTGTTCAGCGTGGAACTTTTTTCAACAAATGTTCGCACTCTTCTACTAGTGAAATTGACTCTAACAAAGACATTTGTTCGGTCTCCAATTTTTTAATAAAGCTTCTTAAAAAATTAAAATCATTTTTGATATGTGTAAGTTCCTATTTTTCATTACAATGTTTTTTATTTGATTAAAGTGATTCGCGTGAAATAAGGCTGAGTCTAACCCCGTTCGCCATCGAGTAATTCAGTCTCGGTCGCTCGGACAGCAAATAAAATGTTTAAAATGCTTCACAAGCACCATCAGTGATAATTTTCAGAAGACGTTGTTAAAAATCACATTAGTCAAATAAGAAATGGGACGAGGGCTTAATCTTTAGGTAACGGGATTTGAGGGCTATAAACAGAAAGTCCACAATATTGCAGATAAAGTCTGTTCATAGATATAAGAAAGTGACTAACTGATACGAATTAAGGAAAGAATGAAATATGGCCGTACTTTGCTTAGAATTTAATTATTTGGGATTTTGTTAGGAAAGATACTAAACAATATTTATTTATTTATGTTTGAATCTAAAATAAAATTACAAATTATTTTTATTACCTACTTAAATTACTTAAAATTATTCACATAATATATCGCTACGATATACTATTGCTCTGCTTTTTATTATTACTTATCACAGACGTATACCTTTTGTAGGTTCAAGCTTTAGGTAAAACGGGATTTGAAGGCTATAAATAGAAAGTCTTTTACGATGAATGAAGTCTAACAGTCCCACAAGAATTTGTTTTTTTTTCTTGAAGAATATATGATAAGATCGCACTGCTATAGAAATTATCTGTAAATAGGGAATGACCTTTGTTTAGATACGGTTTCATCAGCTGAGCTACTATATTACCAGTGACTCCTAATCCTGTAATGTTTTCTTCTGGATTATATTGTGTCCTTGCCAATATAGACAAGAAATCTTCCTTTAAACAGTATCATAGTTTCATCAATCACTAGGTTTCCAAAACAATAGAATTGTGATTGAAATCTTTGCTTTATTTGTTCTAATTTGTTGTATCCGTCTCTTGCCATTTTTTGGCTAAAGACTGGAAAGTATAAAAGAAGATCTGTTGACCACTCTTTCCGTTTATTTTCATCTACCACTGGATCCTTTCACTATCTGATCCCAACAATTTCTTGAGACTCCTTACTTCCGCGTCTATTAGTCCGCAATAATCACGTGGTGTGATGTTTGACAGATGCGCGCGCCTCTCTGGTTGAGTGCGGGCCATACAGACGAGCGTCACATATATCGGACAGTGGCCCATATATATGGCGCTAGTCCATATGCCATATATCTAGTCATGATATATCTTGGCTGATTTATCATACAGACGTCTTTAAAACCTAAAAAATGCCTGACTATATATCGGTCAGCCGTCTGTGAGGCAATTTTCCCACTGTCAAATATATATGTCAACCGTCTTAAAATGTTTAAATTCTACCTGGAAAAATATAAGTCAAACATAACATATTTCTAACATTGTTCTCTCCTAGGCGTCAAGTTGAAACGACCCAGGGAATGCTGTTGAAATGATCCCACCAATGACTTCAGCATTATGACCGTCATCAGTCGAAATCGAATATGTCGCCGCTTAAGTCCCAAGGGGTTTGCAATCACTGCGATTGGGTTGACACTACTCCTATGTCTCTACTACACCAGGTAAGATCATAAAATGTGATTTTTGACATGAGAAATCCCTCTCCGTGAATAATTTTTGGGACAAATTGTAGAGGGCACTACGTATGGTACTTTTCGTGCTTTAGATACTTCCTAATTTTTTTGCACTTGCATATAATTGAGCTAATATGAGACCTTAACAGCGTGTTTAATATTATTTATTTAAGATTTTGGCAACAAGAGACTCAAAAAAACTTTGACATCAATGAAAACAATTTTATGAAAATATAAATTTAATTTTAAACTAAATTAAAATACAAAAGCTATTCATAAAAAAAGGTTTATAATGGGCAATAATTGTTCTCAAATGATTTCGACTAACTGTGATACATTTAGGGACGCGTTTATTGACAGACTGCGTTATTTTGCATTTTCAATCCTGTGCCATAGTTCATTTTGAGTAAGTGGTCCCACGATAAATCCAACCATAAGGAAGTTAATTATTTAGTCTCTAACGTGTTTCGACAAGTCCGCCGGAGCGAAATCTTGCATAAAAATAATTGCCTTTCTTAACTGTAAGGACTAAAAACAGCCAGCAAAGAAATTCACCAGTACCTAAGTGTCTTTATCGCATTTGTTTTACTCAAAGCCTACTTTGAAGAATTTTGCAGATATTTTATCGTCTCGGTTTTCGTCAGAGCCTACATTGCACTATTTTAAACCCTTTCATTGTAATTATGTAATTACTATTGGGTTGTTCGGAAAGTCATTTCGTTTTTTTTGGGGAACATGAAAGACAGTTTTCGTATAATGAATAAATATTTTATTAAATTGTATATTGGCCATTCTGGTCCAACACCTTTTGCCATCTTTCTGGCAGCAACATAATTCCCCTCTCATAAAAGTTTTGGTCCTTGCTGGCAAAAAACTGGTTCAGGTGGTTTTTGACATCTTCATTTGAGGTAAAGGTTTTGCCATCCAAAAAATTTTGCAGGGACCGGAACAAATAGTAGTCGGAAGGCGCCAGATCTGGAGAATATGGTGGATGTTGCAGTACGTCCCATTCAAGCTGTAAAAGTTTTTGGCGAGTGACCAAACTTGTGTGAGGTCTCGCATTATCCTGGTGGAACACTACACCCTTCCTGTTGATTAATTTGGGCCCCTTCTCTTTAAGTGAATCATTCAATTTGTCCAGTTGATGACAATAGACTTCTGAATTAATCGTTGTATTGTCCGGCAAAAGCTCAAAAAAAACGATTCCTTTGACATCCCACCAACCGGAGAGCATCACCTTTTTTTGGTGAATGTTGGCTTTTGACACGCTTTGAGCCGGTTCATCTTTTCCGCTCCATGACCTCTTGCGTTTAACATTGTTGTATACAACCCATTTTTCGTCCCCAGTAATAATCCGCTTCAAAAATGGATCATTTTCTTGACGTTTGAGGAGTGAATCACACACGTCAACGCGACGACACAAATTTCGCTCCGTAAGGACATGGGGCACCTACACATCGAGCTTCGAGGTTAAGCCCATGTCCATGCCTTCAATTTAATCTCTCACCGATCTCTCGTGTGGTTATTCGCCGATTTGCATCAACTAATGCCTTTATCGCATCTTTGTCAGCTTCGACCGGCCTTCCAGACCGTGGTGCATCTTCGACATCAAAATTGGCGGATCGAAATTTTGCAAACCAGTTCTGGCACTGGCGTACTGTTAACACGCCTTCTCCATACACATCCGTCAATTTTTTTCTGGCTTGGACAGCATTTTTACCTTTTCTGAAGTAAAAAAGTAAAATATGACGAAAATGCTGCTTATTGCTCTCCATATTTAAAAGGGCACCAACCAAAAACTACTGCGTAGAATTAATAGAACTTTTTCACACACAAGCCTTGCAATATCAGCTCTCAAGACATATAATGGTTATGCGGCTTAAGTGTGAAGTTGGTTTCGAAAAAACGTAATTAAGTCCTCTGACGGGAAAAAACGAAATGACTTTCCGAACAACCTTATATATTAGTGTATTGTAATTACGTGTGTGTAAAAAGGTGTAATGTTTATTAAAAATCTGCATACACTAATTCTCGAAAAAGTTAGGACGTATCAATAGTACGAAAAGTGCCCCAAAATTATTCACGAAAATATCGGTTAATATCAACTTTTGGACTAAGCTAAGTTTCATTAAATCGTAATATTTCTAGTTAAAAATTCTCCTATTTTGCCCCGAAAATTTGTGCATTTCTAATATGAGCAATGCAGATGGCAATTTTCAAAATCATTTACAGTATCTCTTCGGACGTCCAGAGAAACCTTCGACAGACGCCATCTGAAAACGACGCAATCCAAAAAGATGCTCAGGCTTCAGGTCTAAAGTGGCCGGTGCGGCAGATATTTCGAAAAAGAAACCTAGAAAAATGTCCGCGACTGGTATCGGCTGAGGCAGACATATCGACCTTAGAAATTTTCAAAGATTTCGATTTCCAGGTAAAATTGCTTGTTACAGCGAATTTTTTCGTGTTCTTTGTTTAACTCAGTTACTTCCACTAAATGTTTTTCGTACCTTAACCATCAGTGGCACTTTATAGTCCGTAACAAAATTTAATGCTGTTCATTACCAATCCTAATTAAGAACTAGCTAAAAGCACTCATAGCGCCTTTTTGGTATCTAATGGTATGCATATGTCCCTTCAAAATTATCAACAAATTTTTGTGTTACTAATGAAATCTGGCACTAAGTGATAAAGTTAAAAATACGCTTTCAGAACTTATTGGGCCACAAGTCCATGGACTAAGGTTCGAAATCATATTGTGCGTTTTTTAAAAATATGGATATATTTTTTTCTTTATTGCACAACTTAAATTATAACGCAAAATTTTCATTACCCAAGCGTCCAAGGAAATCATGAAGCAATAACATCGGTAGTGTCCAAGCGCTTTTCTTGACTAGTCGCAATTTAGAATCAAATACGATGGTCACTTGAAAAGTTTCCGATCTAACAATGATAAAAGACATTTTCTCATTTCCATATAGTACCCAGCTTTTTTCTCCGCAAAATAATTGTTCCTACTTGTGTCCTCCGAGTATGGTTTTCAGATGAGGGAACAATAAGAAGTCACCTGGGGCTAGATCTGGTGAGTCATGCGAATGGTCGAGCAGTTCAAACCGTAATTCGTGGTAACCGCTGAGATGCGTTGTCTTGGTGAAACAGCTTGTCAAGTAATGATGCGTAGTATGTAATGGTTTTCCCTTCTTGAAGGTAATCGATAAAGATGACTGCATGGATATTCCACATCCAACTCAACTCTAATTTGCGTAGACATATTGACAAAAAAGTTTTTTCCATTTTTACGAAAACACTCCCATCCAGTCACTCTCAATTAAAAACCACGCTTGCAAAGTGGCTGAAACTGTGGTAAGTAACAATCAAGACGTGCACAACTTCGATCACTCGTTTGTAGTAACTAGTAGTAACTAGTACAGCCATCTTCAGGGTGAGGGCGGAATCTTTTCAAGTGACCCTCGTAGAAGGGTCCAAAACGCTTTTTCATTCTTGAAATGACTTTTAGAGCTCATTGGATCACAAGGAATTCGCGAAGATTATGATGGCGATAATGAATGCTTGGTTGAGTGCGAAATTCAGAGACGATTTCTTTTCAAATCGGCTAACAATTCTTATTTTCTGTACGGTCTAAAGTTCGAAAGGGTATAGGGGCGGCAAATCAGGTCGGGTCCCGGATAAGATTAGCCTTTTGTTTCTGGCACGGAGGGACTCTTTTTTATCGCCACCCATTCCCATTACTTAGTGGCTCCTTACTACCGGAAGAAGTATAAAACGGCGAACAATGCCGCCGACACATAAATTCTCTTTTTATTCGGTCGAAAAGTCTCGCGAGTTAACCGTAAGATAAACGGTCCGCTAGTTCTTTTCATTTTGTTAGAACGACGTGATTGGAAAAGCGGAACGAAAATGAAAAGTTTTAATTAAAACGTCCTAAAAGCGTCATAATCTAAGTGTCTAGAGTTTTTTTTAGTAGATAACGATTTGGAGCAAAATTGGCAAAAAAATGCGGTGTCTGGTTTTCCACCCAGTGTTATAAAAATTATACAACTTGTACATGTTTCGGGATTAAGAAGGAGGGAGTGCTTTAAAGACAATTCTTTCAGAGCATTCAGCTCTCTACTCAATATTCCACAGCTCTCACCGACGCTTCCCCTACTAAACGACAGATACACCTGCATATTGTCAGCGTAAAATTATGCTGAACACTTTTTTAGTGCCTTTGGAAGATCCGATGTATAGACAGCATAGAGAGGCGGGGAAAGAATTGATCCTTCGGAACACCTCGAAGGGGGTCCAGTGGTTTTGATAATACAGATCCGATTCTGACACACTGGGATCTACTTGATAAAAAGTTAGAAAAAAAAATATCGATGTGTTACTAAGGCCGACATAGTTAAGAATTGCCAGAAGCAATTTATGATCAATCATATCGAATACTTTCGAGAAATCCAGTAAAACCAGCACCGTGAGATTACCCTCGTCTGCTGCCCTCAATATATCGTCTGTTACATTAGCCAGTGCTGTAGCGCAACTATGATTTTTTCCGAAGTCTGATTGAGTTTCAGGAAAAATGTTGTTATTTTCATTATGATTGATTATTTGGATGCTTATACATTTCACCAGTATCTTCGACGTAAAGCTTTGTAACTTTTGGGGTTAGAAGTTTTTGGCAATGGCGCATTTTTTCCAGCATTCCGGAAACACTGAGTTTACTATACAAAAATTAATAATATGAGTGAGGAAAGGTAGAATAAATGGACAGCGAAGCTGTCAGCACCCTCCGCTCTGGACTTCATTGCTGCAATAATATTGAGTATCTGAATTTCATTAATTTCCTTAAGCGTTAAAATAGATGGTTTCAGAAATGTTTTGACTATAGAAGTTCAGAAGTTCATCACTAGTGGGTAATTGAACATCCACACTATTTACAAAAAAGTTATTGAGCTCGTTCGGGTTGCTGAGACTTCTAAGAAGTTCGACCTTTGGCTTAAAGTTACAGGCTTCAAACTTTCTTAAATTATTCCAAATATTTGTGTTATTTTGAAATTGAGATTCAAAAAAAGCTTTTTTTACCCGCATATCGAAAAACAACTGGGGTTTAAAAGCATATCTTGATAGTGAAGTTGGTCACCTTGGTTGGTTTTGATAATGCAATTGTTAAAGTTGCTCAATGTGACCACCACCATATGCAAATAATCAATTCAAGTCTTGTAAAATAAATCTTTTGAATGAGTAAATAAAGTCTGGCCGCGCAATATAATTTATTTCTTCACGCTAATCATCTATCGTGTTGGCATTGCTTCTCGAATTCAATATAAACCGAGTATCATAGACATGTATACGGATACGGATGTAGTAGGTAAAATAAAATTCTCATTCGTAGTAAAAATAATGCACAAAGCTCAACAACCAAAGTCGTCCCTGTCTATGAAGTCGATCTTCTGTTATTTTTCCATAAACCATTTCGGCAGTTCTTTATTCAGATAGAATGTACCTTTTCCCGCAATCATGTTTCCAAAGAACTGTCCAGCTCAAGTTTTGGTCTTCATTTAAAGAATCTTTTTTATTTAAAGATTCTATTTGCTGAATAACCTTCACTTTACCATAGTATACCTCGACGGTCACCCTGTATATTATACGACCGCGAATTTATCGGTTTATCGCTTTTAAGAAATGTTACATATTTATCGGTGTTGGGTGTCTACTTATTGAAACATTGACAATGTCGGGTCAATAACGTCTGCCGAAGGAGTGCGTGCATAATTCCCAGACCTCGAAGAGCGGTAAAAATTATCGATCGGTCGGCGGCGGCGGGCGTACCGCGAAGGCCCGTCTGTCCTTTGAACTCCCTTGCCGGATTATTATCTTATTATTACGCCAACGGTCTGAGAACATGGAACAATCGATCAAGCACAATTAGACCGCGGCCGACTCAAAAACGAATGCAACTCAGCACTCGTGAGTGCGAGAGATTGATCGAGGCTTTTTGCTTTTAAAAGTTCTTTTATACATGATAAGCTTGCTACTACGGGATTCTTTTATTATTTTTAAGAATGTACTGCATGTAATGAAGTCACAAGTATTTTACATTACTCATCTTACTATAGTTAAAGTACCATTATTTTAAGCGAAGGGTTTTTGAGACAATTTGAACTCGTAGAACGGAGTGTTATACCAATTTATGTAACGGTAATCTTGGCTCGCTTTTACTACTTTGTTTAATAGTATCTGCAAATCCTCCAGAGGACCAGCACACAAACAGTGTCGTACCTAATATTATTAAGGATTTTCCTATTTATTACTATCCGAACGGATTCATCTTCCAATGCTTCTCTAAAAATGTTTTCCGAGTATATGTTGACTAGCATTGGAGATACAGACACTTCTGTATGCTGATCTGTTCGGAGAGAGCGTTATCTATTCTAACCTTAGCGGCATGACTCCAATACAGCTTTGATATAATCTGCATATCGGGATAGTCGATGTTCAGTTTTTTGTAGGATTTACATTAGTTTTTCATGCCTGACATTATCAAACTCTTTACTATAATCGACAAATCACACATAGAGATCCTGATTGACGTCTAAGCATCTCTGGGCAAGAACGTTAAAGCCGAAAATGGCTTCCCGAGTTCCAAGCAAATTGCGGAATCCAAATTGCGTTACAGAGGTTTCAGTTTCGCATATATTGTGTATTCTGACGTGCACGATTCTTAGGAGTATTTTTACAACATGGCTCATTAAACTTATAAGTCGATTTAGATGGTCGAGATTTTTTTGGGATTGGGACACAAGTAGACAGAAGCTAATCACGGGGAATATTACCAGTCTTGTGTACCTCGTGGAACAGATCTAAGAGTACCTGCATCTAATATTCGTCAAGCAATTTCAAAAACTCTCAATGCACATTGTCTGCCCCACTGCTTTGCCAAATTTTGCTATCCTTATAGCGTGGTCTATTTCATCTCTTGTTATTAGAAGTGGGTTCTCGGTTGTTGTCGATTCTCGGTGTCCAAAATTATTGAATTTTGTTCGTTTCGTGATCTTTTTGATCCAATACTTCCTTTATCTTTTTGTGGATGTGAAAGCTATTGTATTTGCGTTCCAGGTCCTCTATTTCTCTGCGCACCTTTCCTTCATAAAGTTCTCCTTCACTTCGCGGATTTTGTTATGAATAATGTTTTTAATGGACTTGTATTTTGCTTCATTATGGTTTTCAAGTTTTCTTTTCTCTTCCATCTCTTCCTATTTCTGTTTGTATTTTTACTACGGTATCCTTAATTTTTTCCCTATTTGTGTTCTTGTCCCAGGTACCGAATCCTTCTTCATGTAATGTTGTTTGGATCTGGATCATAATGATCCTATCGGAGTAGGGTAAGAAATTGATCACTGATTTCGCCATATCTTTCGTTACCATAATTCCGGCTCCATTATAGTGGGAGTAGTACAGTATTCCTCTTCTTCCACCGCCACCTCACCTACACCCAACACACCAATTCTCAACCTCTCCATTTCTGCAAGAACGTTGTCCATCTTTCCTGCCTGATATAAGCTACGTACATTCCACGTTGCAATTCTGATGTTATTTTTATGCATTTTAAAACACTTCCCTTGAGTGAGTTGGCTGACGTGGAGATTCTTAGCATCGTCTCTCTCCGTCTGAAGGAATGCCCCGGACTAACAGCCGTCGTTCTAGGTTTTCAAACATGTGAGTTATCTTGGGAAAATAATCCCTGGGTTGTTTTCCCGTTGCCTTCCCCTGTATCTAATTCGGTCGCTCCTAACATGGAGAACAGACACCGCTTGCAGCCGCCCACTCTGGGTCAGACGCTGCTGTTGTGGACTTCTTTTAGCTTCACCTTCATCCTACCAGCAGCTACGCTACCGCCGGCATTGTTCCCTGGGTATTGAAGATTACTGAGCCCTCTCACCAGCGACAAGATGGAAGTCCCCAATATATAAAAACATCTCATTAAAGTTGCTTCGCAGAACCTGTTTCACTACTTTCATCTTCTAAAGAGGAACAAGGAAGATTCGGATTTTTGTAGGAGAATGTTGGTACTTTTAAAACAAAGGGTCTTAAAAAGTTGTTTTCTTTATTAAAATTAAAAATAATTATTTAGAATTAGATCTGCGTAAGATATAATCTACTCAAATGTCAGTGGCGTAGATAGATACAGAGAAACATTTTAAATCGTCCTGCTATTGTAACTATTAGTACAATATTAGCATTAGCGTTGCCGTCGTCCAGTGACTATTTTCCAAATACATCAATTAACCATTAGACAGACAAAACGAAGTAATTTTCCCTCAAACTTGCCTGTCCATTCCACGCGAAATACGTTTTCTTTGGAAGACTATTTAATTTCCCGTCGTGCAAGAAAAACTAATTAGGACATCCTGGCTCGGGCCGTTCTCAAAATGGCAGATTAAAGAAGTTTTCCCACAAAACGGAAATCGACTTCCACGGGGATTTCGTAGTCGACATAAAAAGGTCCGCCGCTTTCTATAGAATGGACGTTAAAAAAACTTTTTTGGGCCTTGAGGCCGCTTCAGCTGAGGGTTTTGCTTAAATAAGACGGAAAAATCTGGAAAATGATCTCCTAAGCTTATTTTCGAATATTGTTTTGTTTGTATATATAGATTTATTATTAATCACGTTCATTTTTCAGCCGTCTTGGATGAGGAGCAAAGAATATTGGGACAAAATCTTCGAAGATAGATACGAGAGGCAGAAAATGGACCCTGAAAGACCTCCATTAAAGGTACTGCACATTTTTATTGACGCCCCATTTTGCCTATCGGATGTTCTAAATCGGTAAAAATATTTGGGTATGCTTTTGCATTCGCAACTTTTTGTTTTGCATGTTCAGTGAGTAGATATAAATGGTAGTATTAATTTGCTAAAGGTTGGAAGCGTAAACTTTGATCCAAGCAAAAAAACTAGCGTGGCCAAAGGCTACATTAACACTCTTACCAACGTGAAGTATGTTTTAAATAAGTTTGAGTAGAAGATTTATGTACAATTAGATCATTAAAAAGATTCGAAGAAGTCAATGCTATAGTTGATTTCAGAAAGGATAGAATAATAAAACTTTATTACCGACTTCAGAGTGAGTCAACTTACGGGTTTTGCCTAATACTATCCGTTCTATATTATGCTCCAAAAAAAAAAGGATGAATTTTGTTTTAACATGAATTATAATATTAGGTACCCTTATTTTTTATTAAACATTGTACAAAAATACATTACACAAAAATGAAATCATAAAAAATCTAAATATTCGTCATCTGATTAGGGCGATCGGATCGGTAGTCAAGTGCTTTAGGGGCATGATTTTTCGAAGCAAAATATTTTGGAATATTCTTTAAACTGACCCATAAAAGTTTTCTAGTTACTTTCGAAAAATCGATGAGATCGATTCTTTTCGAAAGTATACGTGTTCCTCACTAAACTCGAGATCTCGGTAACGGTCAGTCCTGGGGACCCTTATTGATACAGAACGAAACAGCGTCGAAAAAAAAATTTTTTTTTGTCTGTCCGTTCTCCGTTCTCTTTTCCGACAATAACTTCCGAACGGTTTGAACCAGGCAGTTAAAATTTTGCTCCTTTTTAACAGTCCACGGGATACACAAGATATCTAAAAATGGCGGCGATCAAACCTCTGCGGCCATCTATTTTTTTCAATTTTCGACTATTTTTTAAACATCGCTATGAAACACGATAAGTGTCCGAAATTTGAATGTATCGAATTGATATCGTGTGCACGTATAAAGCTTAGCTCCCTAACGGAACCTATTGAAATTGGGGGGGCTGGGGGGTCGGGAAGTATTTTTTAATAAATTAAGAATCGCTTTTGCAGGGGTCCAAGAAAAAAATCGTTTCTCGAAAATCGTATTACACGACAGGAAAATTCATGAACGGGAAGACGCTGAAGATTAGGCTCCATATTCAAAAAAAACTGAAAAATGGGCTCCCCTATTAATAAAAAAAATTTTTTATTTGATATTTTCACCTATTGTGCAGGGTGTTTAATATATAAAGGGCTATATTGAAAAATTAACGGGTATTTTAGATTTGCAGCTTCAACTTTGGCAGAAAGATAGAAGTACACACCCGTTTTCCAACTGTTGAAACAGTACTCACTTAAATCTCACAAAGTATTTTCTCAAAAATTTTGAAATTTTTTTTTGGATATTTTGACTTCCAGGAAAAAAATGTTTCCTCCAAAACTATTAATCCGATCGGTAAAATTTGTGAACCATAAAATACGAGAGATCCGGGACCATAACTTTTATTTGAGACATTTTTTCGATTATATACACGGTTTATTAATTATAGACATTAATCTAAAAGACCCTGAACATTGTTCTTTCGGCATTAAATTATTAACCGTAAATCAAAATTCATAAAAAATATGCCTAATCGGTTCAAACAGTGTTATAGGTTCGAAGTATTTGAAAAAAATCCATATGAAAATCACCATCTTTCGGAAACATCGGTCGAAAGTTTCACCATCACGTACATCGCGTGCCAAATAAATAATAATAAAATAATCTTAAACCTTTAATATCTCAAAAAGTAAGAACAAACTTACCTTATTTTTTTGTTCTAGAATTGATATCTGAAAAAAAATAGTGTGTTCCATTTGAAAATCTTGTTTTTTTGTTAATTGAATTCGCCAAAATGGCACCACCTATTTGGGACATCCTATATAAGAGGATCATCTCCTTAGTCTGTGGTTAAATTTTCATTGCAATACTTGCATCAGTAGCGTCACAACACAATTTTATATGGAGTAATCAAAATATGAAAAAAAACACATAACCTCAATTTCTACCTAAACTATGCAAAATTCGAATTTGAATTTCTTAGGAAAGTGACTTTTATTTTAAAAAAGTGTCGATATGTACAGGGTGTTGACACTTATTATATTATAAATTTTCAGGAGAGTCGAAGCAACTTTTGTACAAAATTTTTTTCGTCTCTCCTATGGGTTTCCAGATCGTATAGTGGGTCGTTTTATTGGGCACACGGTGTACATTTAAAATCAGTCACTGATGCTTGGTGTGAGTGTCACCATTTTATGGCTAATCTTATAAAACTGTAAACACTGCGATTTAAAAACTCTATCGTAAGTATTTTTTAATTATTCTGTCATCCCTTTACCCCATCATGACATGTTAACACTTTATTTTTGTTTATCGTAATTATTTGTACTTATTTCCACTTATTAATATTTTCCAACCTGCGCATAGATATTTCCTAAAAAAATTGGTGGTTTTAGGAGTAATATCCTCTTCGCCCCATTTTTTCTTCGTTTTGTAAACATTTGCACATTGTCTAATTGCTTTAAACAGGCTGCATTTTTATGGCTGCCTAAACAAATAGTAACTTTACTTATGCCTTTGTAAGTTTTTAGTATAGAGGGACCCCTTATTTCGGTCCTGGCTGCGAGCTAATTTTGTTTTCGTCGGTCCATAAACTCGGCCCACTGCTCCGCATTTCGTTTGCTTTTGGTCACGCTTTTCTTACGTTTCGTCAGACGTCAAGCCTTGTTGCGCTAATTTTAATAATTTTCTATTTAACATAACCCGAGATTTGTTTAAACAATAGGCTTTCGTGGTGACACTGTTTGAGTTTGTTGACGGAAGAATTTTCGAACCAGCCAAACAAACAACCAAATAAATTTTCGTTTTTTTTTGCAAATTCGAATCATGACGGAATATTTTTTATTAAGTTTATTAACCCACAAGACTGAGCATAAAATTAAACTAAAAATAGGATTAAGAATCGCGCTTGAGCTATCAGCAACGGCTAACGAGTGACTTTTCTTGTTATAATATAATAAATGGCAATAAAATACCGTTAAAACTTAAGTATTAAAAACTTGTGTCCACATTATTTTTTGTTTATGGTGGATGTTTTTCAATGTAAGCATAATAAGAGATTTAAAAACTGAAATGTGTATAAGTTAATTGGGTTATAATTGTATTTTTCGCGCACAGTAGTTAATAACCAAATACAGTGTTTTTTACTTACTTGTTTCGTGCCTTTAAAAACTCTAGTGACAAAAAGGCAAAATGTTATCCATAAAGAATATTGATATACACAAGTATTTACCTTGCATAAAAGAAATAACTGAAATTCGAAGTAAGAGCACCACCTAAATGGCAACGCGCAAGGAAAACTGAAACAATTACGGTTTATTAAAAAACTAACAAAAACTTTAAGAAAGCAATGTATTGAAAGGAAAAATGGATACCCAAATAAATTGTAGTAATTTTTCAAAGAAACTTCCACGGGCTACTGTAGTACTTTTTACAAAACTTCTGCATTCCTCCTGCGTCGGTTTTTGCTGAGTGTGACTTGCTGATGTTTCGTCAATCATCCTGTTGGCTTCTTCAGAGCTTGAACTTGAAACTGGTTCGCATTTTACTCTGTACCTATGTATATATTGTTCGAGGGGGCGGAGCTAAATGAGCGCCATAAACGCCGTCTCGGATAACTGATTCCCATATTGGTGACAGATAAAGATCTGAGTCGCGGTTTAAGGCTTTCGTGCTCTTTGGGCAAAAATATCAACTAGGATCAAAGAACACGACTAAGACAAATAAACTCATCAGCTGTTGTCGAACACAATCCCGAAACCGGACACAAAATTGTATTCGATAAAACTAAAATTCTTGCATGTAATCAATTCTTCTATCAACGGAAAATCAAAGAGAACAATCTTAACCGCGACTCAGGTATTCATCTGTCACCAATATGGGAATCAGTTATCGGAGACTGTGTTTATGCCGCTCATTTAGCTCCGCCCCCTCAAACAATATATGAACAGGTACAAAGTAAAATGCTAGCCAGTTTCAGGATGATTGGCGAAACTTTAGCAAGTTCGACTAAGCAAAAATCGACGCAGGAGGAATCCGGAAGCGAGTAGTACTTTTAACAGATGTGAAAAACAAGCTTCTCATAAATAAGTTTGTAAAAATATTAAAAAAACAGAAAACTTGTGTTCAAAGTTAATTTTTCTCAATAGTTTATTTGTTATTATCGCGTTCTGTCTAGGTAATAATTGTACCTCATTCACACAACGATCCCGGCTGGCTGAAGACGTTCGAAAACTACTTCCATTTTTCGTCGCGCCAAATCATGAACAACATGGTGGCGAAACTGCAAGAGTACAAAAACCTAACATTCATCTGGTCCGAGATATCGTATTTGAATGCCTGGTGGGAGGAGGCGCATCCCAGCAAGCAACGGGCGCTGAGAGATCTGGTGCATTCTGGCAGATTGGAGATCACTACTGGAGGGTGGGTAATGACTGACGAGGCCAACGTTCACCTCTACGCTATGGTGGATCAGTTAATTGAAGGTAATAAGGAGGAGATGAGAATTAGCTACGGAAGTGTTCAGAAGCAAAAAACAGCAACATAAATAAAAAATGATTTGTTTTTATTCTACTGATTATATAGTACGAGGGCTGTCTTTTATATTTCGGGATTTCTGATATCTGGCCACTAACGTTTTTATAGGAAAGTTTGACATTTTGAGGTTAGATTTACTCAGTTAGGTTTTCGAGTGTTTGTGACGGTCAAAAATCGAACTTAATCGGGAGTATTTTCGTGCAATACTTGTTGACAACTTTAGACGTGGACTAACTCAACAACAACGCATCTAGGTCTACTTTATCGCTGGTTTTCGAATTTCAGTCGTGGTCGTAGTTTTCTTAAGGATGAATTTCGTGGAGGTCGTCCAAAATCGGTTGTTGATGCAGTGCGAAAACTGATTTTGCAGGATCGTCATGTGACTTACCATTGAGGTATCTTTGGGCATTAGTGGGATTCCACACAATTTGACATCAGCTCAAAAAAAGGCTCGTGTTGATTGGTTGAAGGAAATGCTAAAAAAAATACGATCGCGGTGCTCCCAAACACGTCTATGATATCATGATAGTTTTTTATTCAAAATACCGAAACATAAAAAGTGGCCCTCGTATGTAATTTCTTGTAAATATGAAATATAAATTTAAAATTATTTTTTTAAATATATTTCGTATCGAATAAGTATACACATACATATATATCCGGTGTATTCCCAATTTATGAATTACAAATTGCTTGTAACTACAGGATGCGTTACGAAAATGTCATAAATTAAGTGAATTACATGATAACTTCGATCAATTTGATAATCCGGGGAAACCAAAATTAAACCAAATTACCGTTCAATGACAATTTTATATTTGTAATTGTGTTTTTTTTTTGGAAATTCCAATTTAAGTTCCCCAAACTATTATTGGCATTCGCTATTACCAAGCTTCGTTTCTCCGTAGGTGTATGATTGCTGTTGTTCCACTCTAACGGCCATCGTGTAAATATTTTATTTGTCGATCGATTTAAACTATTTAGATTTTAAATAATATAAAAACTAATAATCGTTTCGAAGTAATCTGATTTGAAAGAAACTTTTGATACACCAATTAATAATTTTATTTATCAAATTATTTAATTCGAAAAGCTGCTCCAGCGGGAAAAGTAACCTAGTCCATCATAACAGCGAAATAATTGCAGAAATAAACTTTCAATTTGTCAACTTCTTAAATTATATGAGACTTCCAAAATTATGGTGAGAAGAAACAAGTATTTTCATATATTCATGTTAATTAAATAAAAGTAACATAACTAAAATATTTCATCAGTTTCTCCGATATTTATCGATTTGACCCATATTCTTTTTATAGACAGTGCGAGCGTCTAATGTTGCTGACATTTTTTTTAAATTTGTTAAATTAAATTTTCCACCACCTCAAGGAACAGACAAAGGATTTTTGATGAATCATCAAGAATTAGCCTAATTAGCAATTAGTTAATAAATGCAACTGCAATTGAACTTTTAATTCGGTCATTTTGCTCCCGGCGAACGCATAATGTACTGTTGAAATACATCAATTTAGTCCATAGCTTACTTGGTGATTAGCACTAAAAAATGATTAAAAATATAGAAATTTAACCATCCGTCGATATAACTTAATTAGTTTACGTGCGTAGATAGATTTAAATTTGACGTTGACCTTCCGAAACCGATTGTTTTTATTCGGATACTAGTTGCCGATTTTTAATGTTTTTTATTGCATAAATCGGCGTTCACCGAAAATGCTTTTTTATGTTCATGTTTTTTGAATTTTTAAAAATCATTAGAAAGAAAGAAGAATTAAAAGAAAAAAATAAGCGTTTTCATTTTTGCGTTTGTATACAATATAAAAAATCATAATGAACCGCTTTCAAAAATTGCAATTGAAATTGCATTGTAATTAACGTGTTGGTTTGTGTCTCTAAGTCTAATTCACCATCAGACTCCTCATTGAGATAAATTATAATTAGATTTTTGTTGTTTCGTATATAAATGTAAGAGTCAATTTTTATAATGTGCTGTACTGAATTTTTCCAACTCTCAATTGGTATTAACATTACTAATCAAATTTATGACACTGGGAGTTAAAGCGTGAGTAACATTTTCTGTGCTGACCTTTGATTTTACTTGGTTCCACAAATACTGTATGGGGCTAAGCATACAATGATATGGAGGAAAACGTAAAACAGTATTCCCAGCCTCTTCAGCCAAATTTTAGTTATTTTTTTTAATTGCACCCTCATAATAATCCAAGCTAAGTTTCTTAATATTCTTTGGAGACAACAGCAAGCACTTTGTGTGTATTATGGTGATGCGTTTTCCTTTATTTGAATTTGGGGGGGTGGGGGGTAGCACGGCTTATATTTATATTGGTTTCATCTTCTTCAAGATTCTTTTTCAGTTTGTCCAAGGTGGAAAGAACTTCACTTTGATAAAGACAATATATTTTCCTCCTTATTAGGTCCTGATCGCTATTGTCTATATGGCTTTTCTTCAGTTCTGCACCATTAATAATATTCTTTATCGCCGATATTGGCTTTTTTGTAGGTGACAGGCTTCTTTTAAAGCTTTTTGTTGAATAAATTCTCTACTGATTAAAGTTTCTTACAAATTTTTCGCAAGCTGTTTTGCATCGAGCGACAAATAACTTTTTAGAAACGCACAGTAAAAACGATTATACAATACTGCCACAGATGGTCAACACTCAAGAAATATATCACAAAGAAAAAAATATACCTGGCCTAACCCTGCCTTGTCACTCAAGTAAGAATAAATGTTTTTCTACTCCCGTCTGTAAAATACCTAATTACCTACCGATCTAGTCTAGTCACTTTACCACGTCAGTTTCGTTTGCCATGAATCCGAGCCGGATTTGGAAGCAATCGAATGTTTTCGGAGATATTTCCCACGCTTTGAATTTTGACGTTTGTCAATAATGACAGTCATGTCAGTGAATGTATTCGTGTTGTTTTGTGAAAATGTACCCAAAAACTGACTGTTTATTAAACACTCGCTCCGCTCGTGTCAAATAAACTCGTGAGTGAAATACCGTTTACCGCACTTGTTGCATAATATACTATTTGTTAATGGCTTCACCCAATACCAATAGGTAATAACTTAGTTAAAGTTTTATTTTGGAGGGTCCCGTCGAAAGCCAACACCATGAAGGTTGAGACAGACTATACTTTGCGATTTTAAGATCATAATCAACAAATAAAAATATCCAGCACTATGTAGCAAATGAGATGTTACGTATACTCAGCGATGTATTCGTAAAAATACGTTCTTCGATATAACTACCTTATTAAGACAATTAGTAAGTAAAAATGAGATTGAGCCAGACTATATGAAGGTAATACTAATCCACAGTTATTTTTGATTTAAAAAATAGCCGAATGAAATAAACATATTTTTGAAATCCGACTAAAAACACCCTAAGTCAAAATTTGAAAGTGAATAGCTTTTCTGAACTTCACACCAAAAACGATGATTTGGTTAATTACTCTGTAAAATTTAAAAAAAAACATTTTTTAAACTTTAGAGAAGCTATTGTTTTAAAAATCGCTTGCCAAGTTTTTGAGTATGACAATTTTTCAGAGCCCCAGATTAAAGACAAAACTTTGTAAGTTTTTTTAATATCATTAGTTTTTACATTATTACACCATGTTACATTAAAAATTTGAAGCCAAATAAGTTTAACATTTCAACAACAAAGTGTAATAGAATAAAACAAAACGCCATCACAGTGAATTATTATTGTTTCAGGACATCAGTGGTTATGGACCAACTTGGGGATCAAACCGAAATCAGGCTGGTCCGTAGATCCGTTCGGTCACGGCAGTACCGTCCCGTACTTACTGAGCGCTTCAGGCTTTCGCGGGACAGTAATCCAACGCATCCACTACGCGTGGAAACAGTGGCTCGCCCTAAAACAATACGGAGATTTTCGATGGGTACCGGCATGGAGTCCCAGCGACCAGCAATCTTCACTTCTGACCCACAACCAGCCGTTCGACATATATTCGATCAAACACAGCTGCGGTCCGCATCCGTACGTCTGCCTAAATTTCGATTTCAGAAAAGTGCAGGGCGAATACACAGAGTACTCGTTGAAAGCACAAGCGATCACGTCGAAAAACGTCAAAGAAAAAGCGGAACTACTTTTGGAGCAATACGCCCGCACAGGTTCACTATTTCCGCACAATGTGGTACTCACACCTTTAGGCGACGACTTTCGGTACAACGTCAGGGAGGAATGGGACCAGCAGTACACCAATTACGTGAAACTCATCAATTATATCAACGCCCACAAGGACCAATATAAAGCCGAAGTGGCGTTCGGTACTCCTACTATGTACTTTGACGAAATTTCGAAGAGATTCGATCAGTATCCCACCCTCAAAGGCGATTTTTACGTGTACTCGGACATATTTTCCGAAGGTCGACCGGCCTATTGGTCCGGCTATTTTACCACGCGTCCATTTCTAAAGATCCTCGATCGGCAACTGGAGCACAGCACGAGGTCCGCGGAGATACTCTATACGGTCGCTTTGAACTACGCGAAACAACAAAAGTCGTCGTCGTACTCGAAAATTTTGGAAAAGGATTACGAAAAATTGATACGGTCCAGGAGAAACTTGGGTCTGTTTCAGCACCACGACGCGATTACCGGTACCAGCAAATCGTTCGTCATGAAAGATTACGGTATCAGACTGTTCGAAGCGCTACGCGACACGACCAATATCCGGCAACACGCGCTGCAAAGTCTCCTGTTTCCTAACCTGCCGATTAAAAAGGATCAAAATCTAGTACTGAGCGACGTGGAGCGCGACTCTTTCGACAAAATACCGAACAAGACCAACATTCAAATAGCACCGAAACAGTCTCGGAAGATACTCTTGTTTAACCCCCTCTCTTACCCGCAAGAGCACGTGATCGTTCTCACGGTGAACACGACGAACGTTAAAGTAACCGATCATAACGGCAGCGATGTTTTGTATCAAATTAACCCAATTCTGGAGGCTAACGGCAACAAGTACTGGGTGGAACCGTCCGAATACGAACTCATTTTTATCGCGAAACTGGAAGAGTTGAGCGTCACTTCTTTCAACCTGGTCCACACCGACGACGCTAGCGACAAATTAGGCATCCTCTACTGCAAACGTTGCTTTAAGAAAAACGCGACTTCACCCGATGGTACCAGATTTGAAGCACCTTTCACGATTCGAGACATACCGGTCGGTGATATCCAGCTTGAAAATCAAAAAATGAAGATATTATTCAGCGGTATGTTCTTTTCATGTTTCTCTGCTACCATATTTTTCATAACTTGTCTATCTCTGGCAGTCTGGATCCATGTCTGAATATTACGTATGCCAGTCTACTGTCTCTTGTTCCTCAGAGATGACATTTTCTTTCGTTCTAGTGCTCTCGATTTTGCTTCGTCGTTAAAGAGTTTTGCGTTTCTCATTCTGGCTGTCCATGGTATCTTAGGAATTCTGCGATATATCCACATTTCAAGTGCTTCCAATTTGTTTATGGCTTTTACTCTTAGTGTCCAGCATTCAAGACCGCACAGAGGCACTGACCAAATATAGCAACCCACAAATCTCAACTGAAGACCACTTTTAATTTCCTTGTCTGAAGACCATTCTTCATAAAGCCAAGTTCCTAGGTACCTAAACTTTTCCACGCTATTGGCGTTTTTAAATGTATCTATCTCTCTCGTGATAACCATGAATTTAGTTTTCTTCAATCCCATATCCTGGCTACAGTCTCCCACCATGTTAACAATATGTTGATATGCTGTCCGCATAGCATATCTTATTTATCCAAACTTCATTAACTTTGATCCCAATTTTCTTGTCCTCAAGCGACTCCTGGAAAATGGCTTCCAAGTATAGGTTAAACAGGAGCGGCGACAGTATATACCCCTGCCACACTCCTGGACCAATTTACATTTGGTTAGTCAGACAGTTAAACACCCTGCCCTATGCTGATTTGTGCCGGCATAAGTTTTCAATGGAACGAATGTCTTTTTAACCCAAATCAAGTCTTTTGAGAAGCTGCATAACTTTATGATGTTGTGTACTTTGTCAAAAGCCTTTTCGTCGTCTATAAAACGTAAACAAGGGTTTTTCCACTGGTCATGGCAATTCCGTACCAAAACTTGCTTGCTAACGCACGCCTCTCTTGTGCCCAACCCCTGCCTAAATCCAAACTGTTTGTTGCGTATGGCGGTATGTTAGTAATTTATATTAGTAGATATATCAGCACTGGTCATATAGTGTTCGTCTCCATCATCTTCGTGGTGATAGTGACTTCCGCATTCCGTGACGTCTAGCAATTTCACATCCCACTTCTGAAATTGTTACCTTTTCGTCACTCGTCAGGCTTTTAGGTTAACTAGGCTTATTGATACACTGTGTATATTAATTGACATTTGAATTAATCGGTTTATTTCCCACAGGCAGTACCGGTTTCATGAAGACCGTCACACGAAAACACAAACCCAAAGTAATGCAGTGCAAAATTTGGTTCGCCGCGTATCGTAGCGCCCAGTTCCATTCCGGTGCGTATCTGTTCATGCCGGATCCGAATGAACGCGACTACGAAAAAGACGTTCTCCTACAGTACAAAGAGCAGATGTCGGTCATAATCACCACCGGTCCCGTTTCAACCGAAATACTAACTATTTACAACCCGTTTTTGGTGCACAAAGTTACGATTTATCTCGTCGAGAATTCCACTCTCGCCAACGCTATCCAAATCGAAAACACGGTGGACTTCGAGAACCCGCCCAAGAACAGGGAGACGGAACTTTTCATGAGAATCATATCGGACGTTCAGAACGGCGATCCTCCCGAATTCTACACTGATCTGAATAATTTCAACATGCAGAAGCGGGTCAAAGTGGAGAGAATCGGTATTGAGGGCAATTATTTCCCCGTAACGTCGATGGCTTATATACAAGATGAAAGTGTGAGATTGAGTTTGCTTACTAACCACGCGCAAGGCGCCGCGTCTTGGCAGCCCGGTTATTTGGAGGTTATGTTAGACAGACGAACATTATATGACGATTCCAGAGGTATGGGTGAGGGCTTGGTGGACAGCCGAAGAACTACCAGCAAGTATTGGCTATTGGTTGAGGATGTTTCAAAAGTGAGACTCGAAAATGGCGGGCAGAAACGGTTCGATGGAGTTGAAGACACTTTCGAGAAAGGCGATGTAATACGATCATTTAACGTGCCCACAACAGCGAACGAACCCACCAAGCAAGAACCTTTTCCGATGGCTTCTCTCTACGCCACTCATCTATCGAACGCTCTAAACTACCCAGCGGAAATCTATATAGTCGATTCGGAGTATCAGTCTTCGGTAAATGACTCCATCAAACTTTTAAACAAGCCTTTTCCGTGTGACGTGCTGTTACTGAATGTAAGGACTCAACCCGATGCAGTTTATTCGCAATTTCCGTCGAATAGTGCACTCGTTGTATTGCATAGACAAGGCTATGATTGTTCCATTAATACTAATTACACTTGCGACGTGCATAATTTCGAAAAGGACAATTATTTCAAAATTTTAACAGTCAAAGAGGTGGAACTTAAGAGTCTGACGGGATTAGATAGTATACACTACTTTGAGAGTTTGGGTGACGTGTATATAGAGCCAATGTCTTTAAAAACACTAAATGTAACTTTTGGATAGAGAATTGTCGTGATTGTTTTGTCAATGTAGGCAACTATGAGTCAATGGTAGCTAATCCATTCAACTTTTTTTTACTAAAACTTACTGTTCTTAAGAAACCTGAATTTTTTAAAACAAAATTAATGGATGGTAGACTTAGTGGATCAAATAATGCAACGCCTGATATCTTATGTGTCCTATTTCTATATTATAGTCACGCCCACAAGTCATTGAGAAAAAAAAACTCTGCAGCCAATATACTAGATGAATGTTTTTTACATATGGAAGGAATAATTGATAGTTTGAAATTTTTAGAAAACCGCATCTGCTTAGCTCATTGCGGTCCAACGTTGACAAGTGAATATAATACTTTAATACTTTTTACAAAACTTCTGGATTCCTCCAGCGTCGGTTTTTGCTGAGTCGAAATTGCTGCCGTTTCGCCAATCATCCTGTTGGCTTCTTCAGGGCTTGACTAAAACTGTTTCAGTTCAGTTCAGTTACAGTCAAGCTCTGAAGAAGTCAACAGGATGATTGGCGAAACGCCAGCATTTTCGACTCAGGAGGAATCCAGAAATTTTGTAAAAGGTATTTATTTTAACAGTAACATCCAAAGAAAAGCATACACATATGCTTAGATCGTAATCTAATTGTGGACTCCATAAGCATTAAGTGCGTGTCAAGTCTACCGAAACAAACTATATGTTTTAATTAAAAAAAAAACATGGATTAGACAACCTTCTCGCGAAGTGAACTATAAAAAAAATCAATCAATGTTCAACTAAAGTATAAAGCGATTAGTTTGTTTTGATTAAAATTAGAAAATTTAGCCTTAACTAACCAAATCCTAGAGCCTTTGTACAGCAATCGATGTCGTTATAGGCATTGAGTTTTAGATAGTTGAAACTGACTTGTTAATGTTTTATTTTATTAAACAGTAATTGTAGTCATGAAGTGTGAAATATTGTTTCGGCCGTTCTTGTATATAGTAAGCTTAAATTAAATTGTTTTATGTGCGTAAAGTGTTACGAACATCAAGGAATTTTCGCCCAGAGATTTGATCATATTAATTTTTCATTTTGATCTATACAAAGGTAAAATTAAAGTATGTAATTGGCGAATATAATATGGTGATTTGTGATTAAAAAGTTGTTCAAATTTAATCCAAGATTTTTATACAGGGCAGGTCCATAACACGACAAAAAGACCACAAACCACAGCAAACTAAATGAGTGAAAATATAAGTCTACATATGTTACTGTTTTTGTTACTCGTGCTATCCCCAATTCACTTTTAACCGGTTTATGTAAGATAATCTACCGGCATCTTTTAAACAATACCTTTTATTTTGTAATATTTGTATACACTTTGTTTTAGTTGAATGTTGGTCAGGATTTTGCAGATTGGCTTCATATTTTTACCTTAAGTTTTCCAAGACTGAATTTGATCTAATGGTTTATTCCACCAATAGATTTTAACTTGCATAAAATAACGCGTTTTATGTTAATTTTTCCACATTCGTTTATTTTAGTGTTAATAGTTTAATTATAAGTAACTTATACAGAGTCGAAGTTCTTGGACAGATTTTAGTAAACGTGACTGCTAATTTTAGTAAATATTCTTTGTTGTAATGCTCTAATGGGTGATATTATTTTGTTTTGTTATTTGTGGTGTAAAAAAATGAATATAAAATTCCTTCTAAAACAACCAATTCATTAAAATTCCCAAACCCCCTACTATTCATTTGGTGATAAAAAGTCGTTTTCCCTAATCACAAAAATGTATTTATAATAAATTATTATATAAATTATTTGCACTTTACTATAGATGCAAAAAAACCTCTGCACCTTTAAATGTATTAGACATTAACACTCCTCAATGTTTTCATAATACCATGCAATATATCTAGGGACTCCAAATGCAATGGGTTATCTTTATCTAGTTGACCATACAAAGTATTTATGGAAGAACTGAACAACTTAAATTCTGGCATGCTCTCTTGAAGCCAAACTCTGGGTAAGATTTGACTGATTAATTTAATTTTTTGAACGGCGTCGGTCAGGGCACAAAACTTTAGAGCACTAAGTAAATACCGGTTCAAAAGAGAAGTCAAGGCCAACTCCTTGAGTTTGTTATCATTCAAAATACCCTGCCAGCTAGTAATATTTTTCAAAAGTTTTAGGCCACTGGCAAATTGTCTCTGAAAGAAAGGGTTTTTACTATCTGCTAATTTGGGTGTTACTGGGATAAAAACATCATGTTCTAGGGCAATTTGCATTTTGTGGGAAATTGCCCCAAAAAGATTCGTCAACGATTTGCTAGCCGGCCCAAGGCTAGGATATTTCCTAATAAATCTTCCTACTACTCCCACCAATCTTAAAGTTTGGGAACTTGACAAAGGATCCCAACATCTATCCACCAGTTGGGTTAACTTCGGAACCAACACTTTTTCAATGATTGTGGGCAAAAGGTTAATATCTGGATCTTTGGAGAGGGAGTGTTCAGACTCCCCGTCGTGCAAACCATAAAGGGCCAAGGTTCTGTACCAATCGAGCTTCTCTAGTTCAATTGTCCCATTCAAAGGGTCCCAAAATATTAAATTTAATCTCACCAATGGACTCACTACTTTCGGTAGGCACAAAGTTGCATAAGCTTCATTATAAGCCATTATATCCTTACTTCTCCATTGCTCAAATCTAATAAGAATATTCGCCGCTGAAGAGTAATCATCCATTACATCTTCAAATATTTCCTGTAATTCTTGAACAATTTGTTCTTTTTCTTTGTCGAATGTCAAAATATTTTGCTGTGAAATTTCGTCATCACTAGACATGCCCTCTACATGTTTGGGCATATTCTGATTTGGTATTTCTCTGGCCCGCCTTCTCCGCGTTCTTCTTCCTTCCCGTTCCGCAGCCCTCCTCACTTTTTCTTCATCATCTGGTCCCTTTCTCATCATTGCTTTATTAGTGGCTTCTTCAGCTTGGTCTCTGACATCCTGACGTCTTCTTTCTGTAAGCCATGCTGATTTGTTGGCCATTAAATCCAACGCCCTCTGCTCCAAGATGGAAATTACTCCAACCTTTTCATCAAAACACTCTACCAAGTCTGTTATGTACCCTCTAAGCTCTTGATAGAATCTAAAACGCTCGGCGGCTTCTGGAGCTTTTAACTGCAAATCTTCAAGTTCTTCTCCTGCTTGTTGAATTTCCTGTTGGATGTTCTTCAATTTTGTTAAGTTTTCATCTCGTGAAGAACAAATTTCTTTATAGTGGTCTCTGAGTTTTTGAGCAATCATTTCAGGCGTCCTAGGAATTCCTGGATCTATAGCTGACAGTTGAGGTTGAGACACTGGTACTAGTTCTGTTTGATGGCCTTCAACCATTACATCTTGAGCAGCAGACATAGCAGCGCCTGCGATGAGACAATTTTCTAATCCACATGATAACTGCCCTAATTTTTAATGTTGCTCCATGGATGAAGCAACATAACATACCTGTAACCCCTTTTCGAATTTGCTGATCTTCCCACTCATCCAACTCATGATCAGAGCCCTGTGCTGACAAAAATTGCTCCCGACGTCGGTCTTGGTCTCTTTTAGCCATATTAACATCCATATCTATTCTTTCTTCTTCGCTTTCTTCATTGTCATCGTCTCTAATTAAACGACCTATAAAGTTTAGTCTTTACAAAGCATGAGTAAAAACAGTGTTTACTAACCAGTATCTTCCGGCTCTTCCTCCTCAACTGGCACAAAATCTCCTAATTCCCTGGCTCTTTGCCTTCTTTTCCTAGCAGCATGAATCATTGCAGCATCAGGAATAGCACCAGACTCGAGAACTTTCTTAAAACTCTCTGGTTTGGAGAATCTATGCATTGTGGTATTAGAATCTTCATCTTCTTCAGAAGACATATCATTTTTACCTAGTAAAATTTCACTCATAAAAATAAAAGCTGTCAGACAAAGTTTAAACCAAATACCTGCACATAAAGCATCTCGACCACTCAATATGGGTGGTGGAGGCGTTGGAGGTTTAATGTGACTTGGGTTGATTACCAACACCAAATCGTCAGTAACAATTTCAGTTTTGTCCTTATCTTTTTTGTCCTCTTTGTCGGATTTGTCCTTTTTCTTTTTTTCCTTTTCAAACATACGCATCACCTTTTTATTGTGTGATGATTTTTTTACTTGGAAAACTTCACCTTCTTCTTCAGTTTCAAAACTCAATAGCGTCTGTTTGGATTTCGCCCATTTGTCTTTTTTCTTCGGCTTCCTTTCAGTTTGAGGAATTTCGGTAATTTCCATGGGTTCTTCATCGTCGTCGTCATTGCTTTCGAGGAAAACACGCTTTTGAACTATGTGTTTTTTTGGTTTTCGGAAAAGTGACATTATTAACTTGTATGTTTTTCTTATGGTTATGATCCCTAGCCTAGTCTGATTTACTACTCCGTTGAACCAAAATAGGTCGGTTATCGATTTTGGTGTGTGTTTTGGTTAATCAGTTAATTTTACATAAATTTACACATATTTCAAATGAATCACCAATTTAATATAATTAACATCATAGTAAAAAATGGTAAATATAATCTAGGATTTTCCATTTGTTAAATTACCTTCATTTCCAAGGTATTTTATTTATCAATCGATGGAATATTTTGCTAGTGTTGTTGCTCTATCAACAGGTGCTAGTAGGTATATCAACTATCCAAAAATATATAAATAAACTGAGAAAGGAAACTTGTGTCTATTTGCGGAAAATGTGTTCTGGTAAAATAATATAAATTATTTATTTTTTATTATTATTTCAGTTTAAAAAAAATGTGTCAGTAAATAACAAACAAAACTGCAGTTACGCAATTTAATATTATGAAAATTATTTCCAAACATTTCGCTTAGCATTTTATATCCATATTTATACCTTACATAGCTAGTTTATCTTTCAATCCCTCTCGTACTCGGCGAAGTGACGTCGAAAGGTCGAATTCCTTCCATCCTAACCTGCAAAGTCGTCCTATAAACTTTCGCAATGGTTCCTTAAAACCATTATTAGAAATGCTACTACACGACGCTCGCGACTAAAGACCTCGCATTTTACCTTACACAAGTTTTGGCTGGAGTTTTTAGATTCGACCGGAATAAGTGAAATATTTTACCGAATTGTTATTGCCTAAATTTTTATTAAACATGGCTAGCAAAACCAGCATAAAGAAGCAATCACGTTTTGTGCACTTTTACTTGGTGGCATATAATGCCTTACAAACTCTGGGGTAAGTCTTCGTTTTTGAAGTTCTTTTTTTTTGTTTTTTTTTTTTCGAAATTTTGTTCCATTTAAACTTCTTAAACCGTTTCTTCCGTCGGCTTTACATATGTAATAAGCTGCTGTTATTTTTTGTAAATTGCTACAAACCGCTTTTCTCTAAGTAACCATTATCAATCGTTTCAAAGATTAAAAATTGGATACCGCATTACATTTTTTTTTTTGAGATTGGTATCTTATTGACTACAAGCAGATATACCAAGTGTTCTCTTAACAAATAAGACCTCTTTAGTAATCTTACATCTAACTAACAAGCATGCACTATAATTATTCCAATATTATATTACTATTATCATATATGACTTTTATATTTGCGTCTTTTAAATGAATTTCGGAAATATAGGGACGCCACTGGATATTTGGCGGTTTGGTTCCTTACTCTTTGCCCCCAACTTTTGGATACTTGTAAATCGTTTAAAATTTCGTTTGGTTAATTAAACGAATATGTAAATTATATACAATTTCCTTAATATGCATATGTCTACAAGATCAATTAGTGTCAATTCTGTGTTAGGTATAAACTGTATTCAAAATATTCGACTTATAATTGTTTGTACATAGAAATAAATTAGACAATTTAAAACAGTTTATTGACGTTTTGTAGCTTCGAAGTAATTCAATACCTTCACAGTTCTTCTGTTATTATTATTATTATTACAAACATATATTAAAAATGTAAATTTATTAGTGAAAAATGGAAAGTTTAACTAAACTAACCAAAACTTATTATTTTCAACGAAAAATCTGATCAAGTTTCGACCACAAACTTCAATCATTGACTCGATGTAGGTGTAGGATCCACCTTGATTTTCTCGTAAAGTATTTTAAAATATAAAAAAACGCTGAAACTCCTCGCATTTGTGTGGCTCTTTATTCGTTTGGGGATTTTTGGCTATTTTGAAATTTTCGTAGATATCCCCTTCAAGGGGTGAGGTTAACAAAGGCCTTTAAAAAGAGGGACCACTGAACACGCCTTCCTAATCTTCATTGTAACAAAATCCACTTGTTTCAGTATTTTCTAGTTTTCAAGTACTTTTCGAGAAAAAGGAGGCTGCTTTTATAGTTTACACCCTGTATACATATTTATTTTGTAGCTGGATCGTTATATTCTTTAAGCTTGTAAATTTTTACCTCAGTCCCGGGACAAGAACACTATACGAATCTGTCAGATGTGTTTTGAATATTTTCCAAAATGCCGCCGTGCTGGAAGTTATACACGCTGTTACGGGCATCGTTAGATCAGATCCGGTGATTACTGCATTCCAGGTAAATTTATATCTCTTACTATCTATGCGATGATGAGAAGCGTATGCCGCATTAATGTATACGTAGAAAATACGAAAAATGTATAGGTGAAAGTCTAGTACGCACATTAACCAACATGTATTCTCCATTAGAAAAAGCATTTTTAAATTTACAGCCAAACTGCTTTTACTATATTTACCTTGACTTTGGTTAAATTAAACTTAAAGACTGGTTTTGAAACGTTGATTTCAAGTATTCACATCATGTGGTAGCAATTTATACAAATTAGCCAAACAATTGTTTTGGTTAATTATATAGTTTGGCCCCAAAAACTTTGTTTACGTAATAAGACAGAAGAAAGATATATAAACTCAATAATTATTTCCTAAATTGAGTTATAAAAGTTCACATATTTTCATGGGATTTTATGATACTGTTAAGGATATTGTAGAAGGTATTGTTAACGTATGTGTTGTGGTTAATACACCAGACTGTGGGCTATTTTAAAGCATGCTTTGTCGCAATTTATTAATTGTTCTAATATATTTATTATAAAATTAGCTATTTTAAGGTAGGATCAAGAGTAGTTGTTGTATGTGGAGTACTTATGGCCACATATTCTCCTAGGGATAGCATAGGATTACCGTTGGCGCTGTTGGCATGGTCCGTAACAGAAATCATTAGATACTCAAATTATTGTTTGAGTTTGCTGGATTTAGTTCCTTACTTCCTTAAATATTTAAGGTGAGTTCATATGCTCATAATTCTTCACGATTTGCACGTAGTCGAACTAACCACTAAATTCCGTTCAAATAGATTTTCATTAAAATAAGGTTAAATAATTATGTTTATACTATACATATCATCATCATCATTAAGTGTGTTTTTTTATTAATTGTTCTGGCGAAATTGTTAAATCATAATAAAGTTCTTAGAATGCCAAATCGCAAATTAACGTTCGTTAAATTCTTAAAAGTTTAACCAGTCATAATTTTAATGGGTAATATATAATTCTCACTAACACTTAAACTGTTGTTTATATGAGGCTAATTTTTAACACCTATTTAAAACGAATATGAACAGGCGCACTCGATTTCCTTGCTAAAAGAGTTTGTGTCAAATTCATTAAATACTGCAAAAATATATTTTCTTAACAAATGACACAAATTTCTAATTACCGAGAGGTAGATTTCTTTTAAAAAATCCTGCAACATGTGACTGACATAAATACATAGCAGCATAAATTAAATTTTACACAAACAGAAATTGATTTTTACACCAACAAATTTGATGTCAGATAAGTACAAACAATTTATGACGCGAGAAATGACCGACAAGTATTTAGGTGAAATATTTTTTTTAAAGTCTGAGATATCCAATGTTATTTGAATACTTGGACACTCTCTGAATGTCAGCCACGTGTTCCTCATTTCCTTCCACATAGGTAGTTAAGACTTGCATAAAAACTAATGCCACGATATTACATTGTATAACTATTGTTACAAATAGTAAAATGGCATACTGCAGTTACCCAGTGTAATTAACTCTTGGCTTTTAAATCCGCATAGGAATTATTTCAACCTTGCCCCGCTTCCCCTTGCTATAATTTACGTATGCCCGCGTCATTAGAGAACAATCAATGTCAAAATGTCAATTAGGTGCACACATAAATAAAACATTACAATTAATGCGGAATAGAAAGATCGGAAATGTAGAACGCAGTTTACTGGTGTTAAAAAATATCGGAAAAAAGAAATTTTAGTAACTCGATGAATTTTTAATATTTTTGTAGAAATTAAATTTTGAATGAAATTTGCCGATAGACTAACAGACAACTCGGAATGATTTTTCGTACAACATATTCTAGGATGTCCCAATGTTTTCAATGCCAAATATATCAGCAGCTCTTAGGTTTGTTTAGATTTGATTTCCTTTAGCAGATCTGCTTGAAACATTATTTATCATTATTTGCTCTGAATACATTAACCCATAGTAGTAAGTAATAAAACTACCCAAAATCAAATCAAATTTCAATTAAAAATATTATCAATGGTGGTCAAAAATAAGTTTACCTAGACAAAGAGAGTTTATTCTAAGGAACGTTTTTTTTTTTTTCTCGCACATTTGGTCTTTCAGGCAAAGGTTTCATGGATATTTTTTAAATTTTAAGTAGCAACTATTTGGACAATTAAATCAAATATCGCTTACTTTTGTAATAATGCGAGGTATTTTGCTTATAAAAATATAATTTAAAATACAAATTAATTCTAAAAGGTAATTGCCAAAAAAAAACTGCACAAATCTAGGTACATTTTCTTGTAAAAGTGGGTACGAAACCAGAGCCAGGCATCGTTTCACTAGTAATACTAGTGTGGTATTCGGTTAGAAAATTCCACACCAAATTGTGTTCTAAAATCAAATTAAAATTTATTTTTCGATTTCTAAAAACGTCAATTTTTGTGTTTATCCAATACCAGCAAAACATAGAAGGTATTATCGACTTCATTATATAGTTACGTCTAGTATAATTCGCTGTTGAGTACACAGGAGAAAAAAAAATCCACTAAAATTCATCTGTTGCCATGGCGATCTGTCTGCGAGTTTCGATTGGGTAAAAATTACAGCTGTGGAATTTTCAATAAAAAAATTAGCTCATAATAAATAAATGTTCTCGGGTGTACTTTTTGCTGCTTAAAATTTTAGGTATACCTTGTTTATAGTACTATACCCAATTGGTATAACAGGTGAATTATTATGCATTTATGCCGCCTCTAAAGAAGTTGGTGCAGGTCACTTGTACTCCTTGGAAATGCCAAATAAGTACAACTTTATATTCAATTACCAGCATCTACTGTGGTTTCTGATGTTGCTGTATATTCCTCGTAAGTATTTTTCTTAAATAAAAACATTTGTTTTTGTTAAATAACTGTTCCATCTTTTTTTGCAGTGTTCCCTCAGTTATATCTTCACATGTTTTCACAAAGGCGGAAAGTTTTGTTAAAGGCAAAAACAAACTAGGAATGACATCGATTAGTTAAATTTTTTCAATTAGACTGATTTCTGATCTGGAACCATTCATTATTACTACCTTCCAAAAGTACATTAAGAAGAACTCCACAAAATAACCTATGCTTGGATTTTTGTATTAATAAATTTTTATCCCACATAAACTGGTTTTTCCTTAATTTAAGCTATATTGACAACACAGAACCCTTTTTATTATTTTTTATTAATAAATATCTCAATTTTCTATAATATCAATTATTGCTGCAGATTGGATAATGCTCTCTGAATTTTTCTTGAATGAAGGCTCTTGGATTCCACCAAGGCATTTTCTAATTCGTTACAGAGGTGCACCAAGTTTGTTGGGTCAGTCTGTAATAAATTATGAGTGATCTGCTGCGAATCATCACTTTGTGTTTTCAGTATTAAATCCATTGTGATCAAAGGGGTTATTTGATTCCTTAGACACCTTGAGGATAACTAAAAATATTAAGTTGAATTTTGTTTCCACCTTTACCTGTTTTTATAAACCTATAATCCTAGTGAATTTAAATCAATTTTAGATGAACTACAAGAATAGGAAATTTTTTAATAATAGCAAGCCAACGCAAAGTTTTACTGAATATAACAGCAATAATACCTGCACTTCAAAACGCCACTGCAGGTCATGATAATGGGGCTCATTAATTTTATATCTGCTTAATTCCTTAATTTCATGTTGTTTTGCTTGATAAAACTTGCTCAGCACTGCTTGAATTTCTTCTGTGAAGCCAAGACTGAGAATAGAATCCCGAAAATCTTGCTCACTTAACTAGAAATTGCAATAATGAGGTTTTTCACTCTGTCCATTCATAATCAGAAAATACCCTAGTTTTTGGTACCACATTGCTTGGAAAAATCTGTACCTGAATAAACAAATGTTTAAAAAAGTTATAGCCTACTTCATTTTTGCATCCTAATAACAGCAAGTTTATAATGCCAAAAATACAGTTTTGAATCGTATCTATGCCCACATCTAATTTTTGAGCAGCTGTTAAGTACTTCTTTTGATTTATTCCATTCTGTAGAAATTCTCCTGCCAATTTGCAAAAATCCAGTATTACTAGAAAAAAGAAAAGTATAATTTTCCAAAACAAACAACAAATCCAGTCTTACCACGTTCAGGTTGGTTAATTAGTAATTGCAAATGTTCCTTATGTTCGTTGCTTAGTGATAGCAACATTTTATTTTATTTTATTTATTAGACAGGCTAATGTAAACATAAACCACAATTACAAAAATGTCACCTGCCAAAACACATTCTTCTATAAAGTTTAGGTTACATTTATCTTGCCTACAGCCAGTACTAGGAATAAAATCATTTTATTCAAGTCTGAAGATTGAGTTTTTACTATTCACGTTTTTTGTTTTGTTTTGTGCACAGTTTTTAGGTGTGAGTTTAAAATCTGTAATAAAGGGTTAAGCGCGGTAGATAAGATACAATAATACGTACTATATATTTATATAACTAAAAATTGAACAACTCATTCAAAGTGCAAGCGTGTGGCAGGGTGAACGTGCAAGAGTTGAAAATAAGCAAGGTCAAACAAATAGGCCCAATTTTTCGTCGAGACCAATAAACGCAACGCAACCGAAAATATGATAGTTTGTTGATGTCGAACCGGATGGGCAAAAACATAGCATTACTTGTTTCCTTCCATTTTGAATAGATTTTATCTACAAAATTTGCACCACAATCACGAATGATCTCGCACGCAGGCCATCTGTTCGGGATTGCTTTAACTAATTATCTAGTGTTTAATGCCTGGTGTTAAATTAACGCATGTGCGCCATCTATTATGTTATCAACTAATTAGTTTCACAATCCCGCGAAAGATGGCACCACCAAAACGCGTGCCCGCCATCTATCAGAGGATGGATGGTCAACTAGTTAGATCCACGGTCTAACTTTTTTCAAATTCTAATTTATTGCGCCAAAGTAAAAACTCGCATGTCTTTTTGATAGGTTGCGCAGTCATGCTTGATATTCGCAGTTGCCCAAGGGTTTATTGACTTTTTCCGGTTTTCAGACCAGCTATAAGGAGCTAGGGAAGAACTCTACAAACTAAGAAGCTCAAGGATTTAACTAGAAAGTGGACCAAAGAGGGATTTAAATAAAATTCTTCGATGACACTTAATAGCACGATTACTATTAAAAAAAATAGTAGATAAACTTTGCATTTAATGGTAAGTAAATGTGTCATTTGTCACCGGCTTGTAGTATAGGACAACTCTACAATAAATTCCATCTTGCCTCTATACCGTAAAAGGAAAAAAAATGACTTGTATCCTAGAATGCATACAGGAAACAAAATACTAGGAGGCAAATAATTACTATTCCTTTCTTATTGGAATTAGTCTATCCTTATCCCTGAGTAGTCATGTTTTTGTGATATGCCCATGTGTCAATTTTTATGTTTTGTTCTTCACTGCTTCTGAAAAACAAAACTGTTTGTCTTAAAAAAAGAGCAAACGACACATTTTTAGTCTTCTCCTGAAGATGCCAACTTGGTTGGCAAAACGCGCGATTACGTAAAATTGAGTTTCGGTTTGTGGTAAAACGCGTTATTGTGTGTTAGTACAGTGCCGAAGGTTCCAGTCAAGAGTTTTATACGCAATTAAGGATAAAATTAATGGCTCTTTAAAAACAGTGAGAATTAAGGTTACTCGTTTTGTTAGCTAATAACTTACCTTTACTTACTAAACCACCACAACACTGTAAAAACAAGAATACCAACAAACGGCTTGATAAAACGATAATGAAATGCCACAACATAGATTCGATAACTTGGGATGTATAGTTCTTCCCTTTGTTTAGTGTATGATCTAAAATGTGGAGTTGCTTAATGCATAATATTCTGAGCATTCTAACCAACGAAGTTACAAGCAAAATAAATGAAAGTTGAAATGTTAATCTTCTGTAGCTAAATTTCAAAAATTACCACCATTGTGGGTGCTAATCTTTTGGACAACCCGTTTTTTATCTTCGGCAGCAATGTACTTGCCGCAACTATGAATGGTTAAAAACAAATTTAGCAATAATATTTTTATTTAATATATATATTTCAAAACTCCAATAATGTACAAAAAATATCTGTGTAATTAAATAATGTTTTTTGTCTGTCAATTTGTTCACATTACTTTCTTTAATTTAGTGATGCTGGGAAACCTGTGAGGAAATGGATAATGGGGGTCGAGGGCAGAATGGGGAATAAGAGGGGAACCGTAATTGACAATAATCAAGTATGAATGCTATTCTCTAAAAAATAAGTCCTAGGTATCCATCCTAGCAACAGTAACATGGCGCATGCCTATCACAATGTCCAACAAAAAACGACTTTGTTCAGCTGCGGCGACCGGCTCAAAATTTTAACAAAATTTCCTGAACCCTAGTGTCCCGCAACAAATTTGGAACCGTAAAAATCGTGTAAAACGTTCCTCGGACGTTACCAAATCAAAATTCCAAGCGGGCCTCCGCGCCAATAACACATTTTAAATTATGTATAAAATATTAACAGTTGCTATTTTTTTATGAATTTTTTTGGTAATGCGCAGCAGAGTGATTGTAAAAAAAGGGGAAGACGACACTAATTACATATCATATCAGCGTTGGGGGTACCTGAAAAGGACATTTTTTTGAGAGGGCTCCAACTGCCGGGTCCTTTCGAGGCATCACAACCTGGTCGCCTCACAGGGCGTAAAATCACTTTAAAACAAGTCCAATAATAAAATATAATAATTATATATAAATATTAACATGTTACTATGTACAATTGCACACAGCCCTGTGCCTCTTTTTGGAGGGATGCTCCACTAAGCCGAGGATCAAAATACTTCAATTTTGAGTATAAAAAATTGTTTAGTGAGTTAGACAGCGCGCATGGGACTCTGTAACTTGAACAACGCCACAATTTTCAAGTAAATAAGCTCTTTATGAACATCCCCCAGATGTCTGCAATCCGCACTACCGAACTTAATCCGAAAAAAAAAACATATTAATTACAACAAGCTATATGATTAATGCACTTTTAATACAGCTAACCTGTCTAAATTACAGCCTGCAGTACTTTATTTACCGATGAGGTACCTTTGTAGTAAATAACCTTTCGTGTTCTATTTACAATCTATTTCTTCCAATAAAACAATCTCGCCCTTGACAGACATGGTAAACGAAAAACTTGCTTCATTTTAGGTTAAATTTTATACGACTTAGCTATTATGTTCAAGATCCGAGTTATTCTGAGAGATCTGAAGTTTCAACACTTTTCGTTTTAATTATATTGCCCCCAAACATAATGACATCCATAAAATATTAAACAAGAGGTATTTTAGACGATTCTGCGTGTTCAGGATTTGCATTTGATAGAAAAAGATCAGTTCCTATTTAACAGATGTACAAAAATAGTAATACATATATATACATAAGTGACGTCTTTGGCTTTGTTCTATTCCTCAAACAGAATTTCGGCAAATTGATAGCAAAAAGAAAACGTAATATAAAAAGGATAAAACGAGAATATCCTACCACAGGCAGATTCCTTCTATAACACACGTTTAACATCGAAACATTTTCGAACATCGATTTGGTTTACTGTTTACTCTGTTCTGACAGGAGCTGTTGTAACAGCGACGTTTTGGCGGGATCACCTTGCCGTCCTTCCTCCATAGTAGTCTGTAAATAGAACAAACTGCGAATTAACCGATGGGACTGAATTTCAATTCCAATTCAATAATTTACGTATACCCTGGCATTATGACCGGCCACTTGCACAACTCGCAAGAAAAACGGTGGAATCGCAACACATAAGTGACTATCCCATACTTATGTATAATTATTACTAGTGCAAATGATCCAAGCCATATAGAGTTTGCTTTATTAGATGCTCTAACAACGCCGATTAGTAATTTACAGGCATGCATATTTGGTATGAGAAGCAGATCAAGCCAAAACCCAAGATTGCAGATTAAGTGCTACCTATTTCTGTACAAATAATTAAATTCTAAATTTTGGCAATGGAAAAGTGATTATGCGATTAATTAACAACGCCTTGTAAGTGGAGTACACAACTTTTGGTCAGAATTATTAATCTGTAAACCTGGTCAAAAGTGAAGTAGGCGTGTCGCTTACCCTGGAAGTGGCCTGCTGTGGAGACATTGAGCCCATATCTGACCCCATCGCACCCCAAAGTTTTGGGCTATCACTCGCACCTGCACGCAACAAGGATGTCATTTTACGCTACCCAACAGAGGAACCCTTTCCACTTCCCAGGAGAAAATGTTCAAATAAAACTTCAATACATCATCCAAATGGAAAACAATTCAATCAAATTGATAGTAACGAAAGTGATAAGGGTTCCCGCTGTCCCAATTTGTAAAAAAAAAAGTTAAGTAGTAAACGGCAAAAGTTGCAGCTGGGAGGGTCCCGTACAGAGATGGATTGAACACAACCTCACCAATTGTGTTAGTTAACATTTAAGCGTTATTTTAAACCACCCTCCCACATATATTAGCTCACACCCATTAAAAATGTAGTTTACCGTTGTTTCTTTTTAAATAAAAAATAACCGCAATTTTGAATATTTTTGCAACGCTGTGAGTTAATAGTTTTTCTTGTGTGCTTGTTTTGTACATGTGTGTTTATATTTACAACTGGATACGACTTCCTAGCGACAAGTCAATTTAACGCCCAAACATTTTTGTCAGTGAATGAACAACTCAAATAAGATAAAACACAAAATTAATTGAATTAATTTCTACTTTATAACATTCTCAAACTTACAGCCATTTTCAATATAATTTTATTATTTTAATTTTCCCATAATTTGTTTTATTCTTGAACAATCCCCATTTGAAACAAATTGAAGTTCTGATATAACAGTTTAATATATACTGTTTAGAATACTATATACCAAGTCAAAATTGTTTAATTAAATTATAATTACGAAAATTTTAATATTGTTACATTATAGTCTCACACACCAATGACTTATAGTCTCTGTTTGGAATTGTTTTCTTCCACGTTACGTGGTTACCATGTAAACCATTGACATTTAGGCACCACTCCTCACCCCGCTGTGTCCCTTGCAAAAATAGCAATGTTTGCACCAAACCAACAACAATTTTATGGATGATTTATGCAGTCATTCTCTTTTAGTTGGAGATTTGTGGTCGCTACAATAAAGAGACTGCCCAAATCGTCAAGTAACGCACTGATTGACCGCTTATATATACATATTTTGCAATTTTAAGTGCAGGTTTCGATTCATGTAACTAAAACCCTCCCGTCATCCGCTCATTTCGAATTTACAACATACCACTCTCATGGAACAAAAGCAATAAAAATCAATACCTGAAGGCATCTCAAAGGTGATGCCCAGTGCTTCGAGATCAACCGATTGTTGGCCCATTTGCAATTGTTGCTGAGGGTTTCTCTGTACCGAATTTGGTTGTGACTGAGCCGTCCTAGCTCCCACCACCGCGCGGAGTTCCTGCCTCACAAACTCGGAGGTCGGATTGGGCGCGGCAACACCTGCTGGAATAAGCAAAACTAATTCGCGAGCTGTACCATAAAAAAAAAGGTATTCGCCATAAATTCGTTGGGAATCGACAAAAGCAAGCTCGAACGTCGGTTGCAATTCAACTAGTAAACCCTCTATAAAGTTGGTGCAAATTCTATCAACACATCTAATATCAGACGTTCAAAGATACCGTTCCTAGCAGATTAACAACAATGCAATTTAACGGTGTCTATGAACTTCTTCGACAATCAAAAAATAACTGCAGCAATTGTTAGAACAGGAAAGGAAGCACATAATACAACAATATGAAAGCAAACAACAAACGGCTAATACATCTCAACAATGAAAAATTATTTCATTAGATAAGTTGACTCGTAGGTTATGTATCATATCTAGACGGGTTATGGAACTGGGGTACACAAAATAACGGGAATCGAACCCAAATCAGGATGCAGTACAGCGGATGTTTAATACGGGAGTCCCCCAATGGATAATACTTTGAGCAGCTGAGAGGCATGATTCGTGTGATATATCCTTTTAAATTCGATCAAAAATCAAATCAACCAACCAAGATGAAGGCAAATTTTTTTTTTGTTTGTACAGATGCAGAATGATTTTTGATCGAATTATAATCAGTACGTTGTTAGACACAAGGCAGTGCGCCGATGAGTGGTTGTCGTGAGATGGGTGTGACATATACTGGTTCCAGAATAATCGCTGTTCCAACACATCGACGCCCAATTTTTTTTTTTTGTAAATATTCCGATTGGGCGCGAACCGAAATCGACAGTCATTCTGGCAACCAATGCAACATATATATGAGTGATCTGGGTGCCCTCGTACTAAGGACGGTTCCATCCCACCGTCTCTTCCAGTTCGACTTACCGGGCTGCATGTGAGGCTGCGGCGGGGGGCCCCTTACCCCCCGCTGCTGCTCCGACGGACTGTACGCCAGCCCGGGATGTTGCTGTTGATCATAACAATACGGGGAATCTTGCTGATACATCATCGGAACGCCGTGGTTATGTGGAGGGGGTAAAGGATTGATAGGGGAGTTGTTAGGGGGATGTTGAGGAACAGCGGTCTGATAATGTGGTGGGGGATGGTGTTCCCTGCCCGTGTAGGGCCGGGGTGAGCCAAGACCGCCTGTAACACACGAAAAGACACGCCGCGCGCTTAGAGATTTGCCTCTGGCGTTCGCTTCTGATGTGGTTCGGACTTTTTCCTCTTAGATACATTCGCGGGTTCCATAGTGACGCAATCGGATTAAAAACTTTTACCAAAACTCGATGCGATAACGTCAAATATCTACCAAGAGCCCACTAAACCAGAAATATGTAAAAGTCTAGATTAATCAAAGTCACATGCTCAGCAAATAAAATCCAAGTCTATGCGCCCGCCGAAGTTATATTACATTCAGGGTGAACCTAATTATATAATATGATTAAACTGGCACCATCAGTCCAGAATCTGGTATTAGACATATGTTCAATCGACTATATGCTAAAGGTGTAAATATATTTTTAAAATAAAGTCATTTATTAGCATTTCCTGTTCACTATAGTCTTATATTTTATTTTTATTGATGAGCTAGGAGAAAATAAGTATTTATTAATATGTTTAATTAGTTTTTATTTTGTTAATCGTTAACAAAGAGGAATTAAGTTTGCCAAAATTGTATTTATAGATAAGACAGTATTCCCCAAGGACAATATAAATGAATTTTTTTTAATATTGCATTTGAACTGCGCCAAATAATATTTCTTCAAAAGAACTTTTGGCCAATGTAAAATTCTGCAGTTAACAAAAATTTCAAATGGCTAGTACAAAGATTTATAAAACCCTTAAAACTACTTTCGCTGGATGTAGCAGATACCTATTTATTTTTATAATCTACTTACCATAAGTTGGCATTTGTTGTGGATGGCACATTACCCAAAATATATAAAGTCTTCCGTCGAAGCTATTTTTTTCAAAAATCTTTAATTTCGGTATATTTTACGTAGCTAAATCAAGAGAAACTTAAAAATTAATTCTAAAAATGATGAAACAGTCATCAACTGGCAGAAGGGAAGACTTAAAAAAGGAAGTGTTTAAAATCGCCATTTTGAAAACAGAGATCCTCGAAAAGGATATCAGCCAACGATAACAGGGCGATATGAAATTAAAAGGCTCAGGTTAAAACGAAAGTAGTTTCAAACGTTCGAAACAAACAACCCTTTTTTAAAAATATTGTTTTTACGTCGCGTAATTCATTTTGTACAGAAAACGAAAATGAGAGAGAGGAATAAATCGTTGGTCACCTCACATTTTATGACGAAATTACCTTTTTTTTTAAATACCCACACATCCTATTCCTGAAACTTTGAAACTGTTATTCGGCATCTACTGCACCTTTTCGTATTTTTCTGCCATACAAGCGAGTTTAGGTATCACCCCGTATGAAACAAACTCAATCATTGAGGACAGTACTTAAGAGAAAAAAGGCCTAACATGCATCAAATAAAGGGTCACTGTCAAAAATAGAATAAACCACTGCGTCAGAATCTAGTAATAAAGTAATCTACTGTTGGTAGCAGAGATTCAAACCATGCAAATTTTCGTTTTTAATTGTACAGTATGTTAAGTAAATTAACGTGAAAAATTTCTTTAAACAAATATGGAAGTAACCAAAACACACTGTACACGAAAATACGTTGTGGTTACAAATTTAAATGATCAATCACATCAACAGATTACCATCTCATCGAAGAATATCTCAAACCTAACCTACGAAATGATAATAAACCTCTAAAAACTTTTTAACGTCCACGTCAACCTACCTGGCAACTGAGTCGACGTATTTGGGGCACTGTTCGCTCGCTGCAGCCTCTGCAAATATTGGGTTTGCGAGAAACCCGAGTTCGGTGACGAAGGGGGAGGAAACTGGTCAGCCGCAAATGGAGAATGTCTCGCGCTGACCGTTCCCTGCTGCTGCTGTTGAGGAGCTCTCTGCAAAAACGACGGCAAAGCGTGATTTGAAGTTATCCTGGCAAAAAAAAAAAATCCACTCACCGTTAACTGAGCGTTCAGCATCGGATTTTGTTGCACGGTGATCCTCTGCTGCGCCCAGTTGTTATTCGGGGTGCCATTGCTTTGAGGATAAGCCTGTCTTGGAGACAATTGAGCGGTAAACTGAGATTGCGGAGACAGTCGGGCGTTCTGCTGCTGGTAGTTGTTGACGTTAGATTGCTGCTGGAAACTCTGCTGGCCCAACGGCGAGGGCATCTGAGCGTGAGGCGAATAAGGTTGTTGCTGCTGGGACACGCCTCTTTGGTTTTGTTGAGCGAGCTGCAGACAAACAACTTTACTATTTCCGCTTTCCTTACGAGCTAATCCGCACTTACGGAATTGGAATTCTGCAACTGAGAATTGAAGTTAGGGGACAGTTGGGATTCTGGCACGCTCGAAGAACGTTGCAAAGACACATTCGGGGCTACCGTGTTGTTAAGCAGAGTATCGATATTCTGAATAGAGTTCATTTCGGCTGCAGTCGCGTTGGACGGAATTAGTAACTGTTGCTTTTTCTAGAAACGAAATATATGAATACCGCTTTGCATTGATTCATCTCGCAGCTTTAGCAACCAACCTGTTGTTGTAACAGGCGTTGTTTCTGTTCTTGTTGTTGCTGCTGCTGCTGTTGGAGCAGCTGTTTTCTTTGTTGCTGCAACAACAGTTGTTGACCAGCCAAGCTGGCGTTTGCGGTATATTGAGAGCCAGCAGCCGCTCTTGCGTTCATCGCCCGTTGGTATTTCGCTTGGAGATAGCTAGGTGGCTGTTGGTAACCCAAGTTATTCTGGCTGGTCACCTACCACATCAACCCTTATTATTGCACAGAACAAACTTTTGCCAATAAAAATATTGTAATCTCTGAGTTGTACAAAAGCAACAACGGATTTGTTACCTCTTGTTACTCAAGAGTTTATTCACTTACTATACCTTCTAATACCATTCGCAAATTCATGGTAAAAAAAAAAACTTGGGAATGTTGGTAGAAGGAAGACGGTAACTATATTTTGATAAATACGCACTAAACTTACATTTACAGACTGAGGATAAGCAGGTGGTTTGGCCGGCAGAGATATGTTCGGTGAAGTGGGACTCTTAACGGCACTTTCACACTGCATCAAAGATTTTTGGATGGTATAAATGGCCCAAGCCTCACTTAGTCCGCTCTGATAATCGGAATCCGGCACTATATCGATGACTTCATCCAAGAGTTCAGAAAGCACTGGATCAGTTACTGAAGTGGCAGAAGCTAAAAGATTGGCGTTGTCTACCCAGGCACTGTTATTATCAGAAGCTGAGACTGGAGGAGTATAAGCTAATAAAAAAGTGTACAGAATTAGACGTATTGTTTATATGAATGAATGAAATGAATCTTACTTGAAGACGGCATTTGCCTTTGAACACTGTTACTAGTGAGGTAGTTTGATGGTTGTCTGGCAGGTCGTCCGACGGATCTATTATTGTTCATCGTCCCCTGTGCCATGGTGCTTCCGATGGTTTTGGCCGGATCGGTGGTTACTCTCGGCAATTTCTCTTGGGGAATCGCGCAAATGACACTCTGAGGGACGGGCGGAATAGAGGGAGGGGTCGGCGTCTGTTTCGCCAACAGAGACGCCAACATTCTATTCCTCTTGCAAAGTTCACTTGACGACGATGACACCTAAAGAGAATAATAAACACTACATTAGACGACGATGATACCTAAAAACCACGATTCGTACAACTGCGTGGTCTAAATAGCCCCCCCAGTCACCACATGAAAATTATCATTCTAAGATACATTAAGTACTATTTGGATAATGTCAAACATGCAACCAATCAAAACTATTTGGACATTGTCAAACATCCATAGAGTTGATCGTTTATGGGATACTGAGTGTTTTTAATCAATTGAATGTGAAGATGATTTTAAGAAAAAAGTTATTGTCATTTTCAAGTCGCAAACCTCTTACTTCTTGAGCTGCGTTATGATAGTTTTCGTATCAGGCTAGATATTTTTATCAAATTTTATATACCCCTCATCATTCAGAAGGATAGACGTTGAACTGAATATATTTCAACATAAAAATAAATATATTTTTTTGTTTCTTAAGGCTGCTTTCTGTTCAAATTTTTATTTTCTACTGTTATCAAAGATCCAGTAGCTCTAAATTTAAGATGTTTACAATATACTTACTCTTAAGTATCCACACCCAATTAATAAACAGCCTTTATATTAGGCAAAAATGAGCGAATTTAATTATAGTAAAGTAAAAAATAAAATCTGAGGGACATAATATTTTAAAGGCGAAGGAAGAGAGGTCTCAAACCAAATTTTAGAATACGGTTTAAAAGAGCGTTTCCTTAATATGCGAATAGGTTGCCTGATAAGTACCTGCGAACCGTCGTTGCTTCTTTTCCCGTCTCTTTCGTCTTTATCGTCCATGGACCGTTTGGTTCCCCGCTGCTCGTTCGAGGAATCGTTTAAGAATCCCAACTTCTTAAACAGCTGATCGCTCCCGACCAACGCTTTCGTTCGGTCGTCGTCGGCATCGGGGTTCTGTTTGAGCAGATGCTCCAGCAGCTCGCTGCTTCTTTTCATACCGGCTTTCGCTTCTTTCTGGTCATCGTCGGTTTTGTCATTTAACAGCTGCAAACGAGGAAAACAATAGTGCAATAATAAAAATAATTACATATACGGTAAAATTTATTGCCGCAATAAAGCCCCGATGGTTGACTCTCTATATAAAATTAATAAATCAAAACACCTTCTATCATAACCCAAAGAAACAGAATGTTGTTTTAATAAACAAGACAGTTCGTAGCGAGTAGCGCGATGCAGCTTTTTATTTTAAAAAGAAGGCGCTTCGAGGTTTCTTGTCCTGCGGAACACTATGGAACTTTCAGAAAATCGATGCAATTTGTATTGTATCTTTCACAACTCGTAGAGCTTCAAAGTCACGGTACAGTTTGACAAATACAAAAATTTGTGCAAATAATAGCGATTTCCAGTTATATTTTTTCAAATATCTCGCGCACCCTGTATGATAGACGAAACTTAAAACTCTCTCTCCACACAGTTTACCAATTTATTCACGAAAACAGCAACTTTCAGGTAGCCCTGGATCTCCCACGTTTCCTGGATCATGAATTTTTCCAATGGCGTAATGTTTTTCAAGAAAATATATGTTTTCTGGAGCCATACAGTACATCGTAAGAGTAAATAACGTCATCCCGTCCAAACTGAATCCCAGGAACAGTGATTTTCATATGGATTTTTTCAAATATCTCGAGCAGCTTGTGTGATAGACGAAAACCGTAAATACAAAAATTGGAGCTCTTGATGTGGCTTATGATACTGTTTGAACCGATTAATAATATTTTTTACGAATTTTGATTTACGGTTAATAATTTATTATAGAAAAAAACAATTTTCATGGTCTTCATTTTTGTACACAATTGACAAGCCCACTATATAAAAGAAAAATTGCCTCAAATAAAAGTTGCTGTCCTCGATCTTCCGCGTTTTACGGTTCATCATTTTACCGATCGGTTTAGTAGTTTTCGAGATGAACTTTCTTATGAGGACAAAAAATTTTTCGAAAATTTTTAAAAAAATATTTAACGAGGTCCGATTGCACCTGGATTTTATAATTTGTATGCGGGGGTGGACTTCTACCACCTTGCCCAATTTGAAGTCAATAGCTGCAAATTCCGGGCACTTGCTGCACTTTTTAGCATAACACGATATATCTCGAACACCCTGTACAATATGCGAACACTTTAAATACAAGAGTTTTAGCACTCTCTATGGGCCAAACTGTCATGTAGAAGAAACTGCAGTCTGAGTAACAGTATAGAACTTACAGTGATTTTTCCTTTTTTTTTTTTTTCGGATTTTTGGCAATACCGGCATACCCTGTATATTTTCAAAAATAAAGGTAAATGGGCATCAATATTCTGCGTCTTTTCGTTCAAAATTTTTCGATCCGATGAACGATTTTCGACAAATAGGCACTTTTTGGTTTTTGAAAAAAAAAATGGTTTTGTGATTTTAAAAAATACTTCCCATTCACCAATCCCTCTCAATTTCAATAGGTTCCGTCACGGGCCTAAGCTCTTTTGCAAACATTTTAAATCGATAAATTCAACTTTCGGATACTTATCGTCTTTCATAGCAAAGTCCAAAAAACAGTCGAAAATTTAAAAAAATGGACGCCAATGTCCCATTTTTTTATATTTTTACATATATTGTGTGTAAAGGAGCCAAATTCCAACTCCCTACCCTAATCCGTTCGAAAGTTACAGTCATAAATTCGGTTTGGTCTACAAAGATCGGAGAGCACAGACAAAAAACAATTTTTTTTTCGATCCCGATTCATTAGAAGCAATTCAATAGAATCCGGTCTTCGCTAATTTTTGTAAGCCCTTTTAGACTGAGTATGTTAAATAAATCCAAGACCATCCTTCAGTTTCCAAATGAGTCAGTCATTAAAACATAAGTATGCAACTACAACCAATAAAATGTCTTTTAAAAAGTTTCGTACCAACTCATTGATGAAAACACGCTGCGTGGGTTACCGCCGTGTGCAATCACAATTATTTAATTCAAAGATTTCTGCAAAATCTACGATAGTGTCGGAATAACTTGTTAGTTTTTCAGGGGTCATCGCAGTCAATGAAAATAGTTACTGTAAAATATTTTTATTTTTACAAACCTTAAAAAATTTAATAACACTTAGGCAAAGCAAACGAGATTTTCGCGCAAGGTGCGCGATAAGATAAAAAAAAATGAGAGGTGAAGGTCTCTTGGTCATTGTTTCAGTCGGTAAGGGGATCAGATATTGTTGTAGCTATGGTATCTGTCATTCACCTCATTGTCTGGTGATACTTTCGATTGTTTATTACAAAAACAAAATCCAACGGAATGAAATATATTATAGGCTAGCTTCGCGTTTACAAAATGTTATTTAATTAAGGCCACCTATACGGACTGCTCGGAAAAGGAGCACCGACCATGTTCCACTTTTGGTTAAGCGATTAGGAACGTAGATAATATTCCGAAGATATATTAATGGAAATTTTCGAAGAACACTAATTTTTGGTAATTACGAAATCAAATCAACCCAGACTTTTTGTTATGGGTAAAAAAATCGCAATAAACAAGGGGCAAATAGTACTGTACTAGTGAGTAAAGCAAATAGACAATGTTTTCATATAATTTCAATTTTTTGCTATGTCTAGGAAATACGCAATGACCTATGCCTTCATATAGCTCTTATCGCCTCCATTATAAAATAACAGTAAAAAATAGTCAAATGATACCCTAAAAATATTTTGTTCTCAATATCAAAAAATTATGATTTGTTGAAATCATTATCGAATTAATACTTAACCTTAAAATAAGTGCGGAATCCTATACCGATCACGATAACTAATGGTTGTAGCAACTGGTCATGGCTTGTCACGTGTGGTTGTGATTTTATTTATATTTGTACCTGCTTCAGGTTCACCATGTCTTTATAATTTACGAAACAGTGGTAATGAAATATTTTCCTTTACAAATGTCAAGCTTTTACATTCGATTAATCGAAGTTGCTCATGACTACATATTAGGAAAACAGCTATGCCGATGCCGGGCATAAAATTCTTAAATAAATAAAATTAAGTGTAAGTAGATAGAAAGATATGTGACAAATTTTGCGAAAAGTTATGGACAAAAAACAAAAAATAAATTAACAAAATCATAAAAAATTACTAAAAATACTAAAAAAAAATAAATTACGAATAACTTTTGTGAAATTTAATTTGAATTGTCATTTTTTGAATAAATTGTAAGTATTCAACACAACTTGTATTTTACAGTGTGCAATTTTTGACAGAAAAAATTAATATCGCAAAAAACAATCACGAAACTAAGCTGTAAAACATTCAACAAAAACATCTTATTCAAATTTCAAAAATACTCTAGTGTCCGGAAAAAAGTTCATATAGCATTTTTTCAAAAATTTAAAAATAACGGAATTTTTTTATGAATTTTCAATAACAACTTTTTTTTTTCTAGTTGGCCGTTTTATTTTAAATTTAGCACATTTATTAGAAATTATTTATTATAATTATCAACCTGTAATTACTTTAAATTTTGTGCTAATCATTTCTGGACGCTCTGTACAAATGTGTTACATTAAGAAAAATAGTCAGAGACAAAAAACTAACTCTCTATTTTTCATTTTTGTTGTTGAAAAATTTTGAAAATTCAAAAAAAACAATAAAATTTATTTTGGGTATCTAGCATACGGACACTAGTTGTGTGCGTTACATTCATATTAATTGGCATGTTTTTAGCATACATTTGTTTTTTTTTTTTCAATGATATATTATCACCCCATGCAAAAAACCATGTAAAGCAAAAATATTTTATCTGATTCGTCCTATCTCCCGCAAATAATTTTTCAGAACAACAGTAAGGTAACATGGCGATACCGCTGATTAATTTTTAATCGCGCCACTCAAAAATAGAAGATAAAATGTGTAATAAATAAGGCACCGTTAACAGCTCGTATTTGCGTTAAACAATTTTTTGTTAAGGAATCCGAATCATAAAGCACAGAAGCGCAGAATACCAATTTGTTCAATAACGTCTTTAATCTAATCCTAAACGCATTCAAAGCCATTACCATTATCAATTTATAATAAATATAATAACATAAAAACAATAGCTTCTATCAAATCAAGCATCAAATCCCTGATTTGTCTATGTATTAGAAAATTTAATAGCAGTTAATCAAGCAACTACCAAAATTACCTAAGTTGTAGAAAACTATGTTTGGGGACCATGTAGTTTTCCCGTCGTTTTAAATGCGTCAGAAGCAAAATCTTATACTTATCTCTATTTTCAAATATATTACAAAAAATGACACATATTGCATATCCAGTGCCATCTGGTATCCATATTGCGACACTTTTCCGGGTTGTCTCAGTTATTATTGCGGTTTTTCTAGTTTTGCTCTACTTTTTATGAAACAAACTGTCCATTAGTGAAAACTTCATAATTCACATGCATTTTTCTATACAAGGCAAAATGGCAAAAAATGTAATTCTTGCATATTGCAAGAAACAAGACACGGAGAAGTTACATATTACAAACCACGAGAATTCAAACTGTCCATATAAAATGGCAATGGATTTTCAAATTATTAATACGGGGTGTGACGGCTGTATACCCTAAAAAATCTATTTTTTTAACTTAAACAATAGGCCCAGTTGGCCTGTTTACACCTGGCAGACTTCTACTGACAAGAAGTAAGCAACCAATCATTTACTTATTGTACAGTTTGTAATGTTTGTAATTGTGTTTGTAATAAAATAACATTTTTTAATCACAAATCGGTGAAGTAAGAAAAAAGTAATTTTTGAATAATTTATTAAAAATAGTATGGGCAGGAACCATTCAGGCAATCACCTCGCAATTTTTTTTACACTTAAATTTTGATAAAAAAAATCTCATCTAAATCACAAATGGTTGAAGGTCGGATCTCCTACTATATTGAGATACGGCTTTTTCTTGAACAATCCTTATCCGCGACATAGTTTTTTTTAATGGTCGCTCAAACAATGCGCAAAAAAAAACTCGTCACGCGGTAAAGTCCG